ACCACTGTGTAATGCTTGACTAAAAGATAAGCTTGCCTAGACTCAGTTTTCTGTTTTAGAAAAGTAAACAATATATTTAATACAAAGGATAATAGGGGGCATTTTAATTATTGCAGCATAATTAATATGCCAGCCTAACCAGCCTTCCTGTATTTAAAAAGCTATTACAGAATATGCTTCTGGACCACTTCTGGGATCTACAAATGATTTTTCTTTTCATGTTTGGTTTTGGTTTTGTGACACCTGATTGTGACTCCATGGTTCATTACTTGTGAACCATGCTGTGCTAGGCTCCATTCTGCAAAGTATTTACTTCAGTCCTTTAGTTATCTCCCAGCCCTCAATCTTATTTTTTAAACCAGTTCATCTTGATTTGGATTCTTACACTCAACTCAATGGCAAAAAAAGAAAACAACCAAAATCCACGAGTGATTGTACTTCATCAATACTCTAAATCCTCATACATCCTACTCTCTAATTATTAAAGTAAAATTTTTGTACTTGAGTTATACTTGCCCTTTTTTCTCTACCTTGATCCTTGTGTTGGAGACATTATCGTTAATAACTTGTTAATGCTAACTTAACTTGGAGGTTTTAATTGTTTCAGGATCTTTTGTAACTCCCAAGCCCATAACCTATAGAAAGTTTCTTCTCATAATTCCAGAAAAGCATAAAATTAATATATTAATCAGTTATTAAGACTAGGCAAAACAAGGTAGATGGGTGGATTACTGGTTTCCCTTTGAAAGATCTATTTGGTATGTTTCTGGGATACTTATGGGAAATAATACATTTTTTGGTGATTAAAAAAAGCTTCAGTGATTTAGCCTTAATGTTTCAGGCAAACTTTACTACACACTTGATCACTGGGCAGTTGCACCCTTCACTAAAGTGCAGAGTTGTAGAAGTGGATTTTGCTTGGTTGTGGCACATAAGACACACCTGGCTATGGATTCGGGTAGAGACCACTTGTGGAGATGGCAGAGGCTTGTATTGGTCTAAGATCTCGAGCAACAGATGGGCTATTCTTCTACCCTTCTAATGGCCTGAGATCTTCAAATATCAGTGCAGAATCCTGGCTGAATGTGGGTTTCCTACTTCTTAGGAACAGCTAATCCCATCTTGTTCTTATGCAGAATATGGAACATGCTCAAGTTCTCTTAAACATACGTAGGCCTGCGTTCTCATGCAAAGCGAAGAGATTCCTATCTTCTGTTCTCTCCAGTCTTTTCTGGAGGGGAAAATGGAGGACTCCCTTTGTGTTACTCTGCCCAGCAATGTGAGCCTATTAGTTTAGTACTCAGATCTGGCAGTACTGTGTTCCTTATGCTCATCAGGTCTGATGGTTATTATGGTATTGGGGATAGAACTTTTGGCCTCAAGCATGTAAAATACAACATTTCAGCTTTTTGAGCTAGCCTTCAACCCCTGAACTAATTCTTAAGAGCATTCAAAGGAGACAGGTGGGTAATATCTTCTGTTAATTCTCACAGAATTTATGTTTTGTGGGGGAGGGGGAGAGGCTTACTCCTGGCAGTGCTCCATGCTAGGGAACACACTGTACTCAACTGCATGCAAAGCATGCCCTTTACTCCCATACAGTTTCTTTGGCCCGCAAACATAAGTTTAATAATGAAATTAAGTATTTCAAGTAGGAGATCCAGGAGGACTCTGATGAAAGTGCCTATTGTGCAAGAGTGTGTTCATGTGTTCTATTCCCAGTGCTACTGACATAGGCCTAATGTTGTCCCTCTGCTGTGTGTACTCTTGGTGCAGCAAAATGTGTTATTTTTGATGCAGTTGTGTAGGTACCAACTAAAGTGTGTGATTGCTAACTAGCACTATGGCCAGTTGTTCTTTTACCAGGATCAACGATATGTGCACCCCCTGTCCCAAGTCATAACAATAAGAACAAAAGAAAAGGGTAGGGAGGAATTTCTCAAGGGGACTGGATTGGGGATAATTTAGTTGTTGGAGTCCCTGGACCTACCTGCCTATATGTTAAGTATAGTCCTGGAGTCACCACCACCAAGATGTGTGAGCCCTATCATTAAAATGTGGGAGCCTCCAGAAACACTGAAATTAAGTGTTACAAGCACCATAACCAAGTATCCTAAGAGTTGGGTCTTCAGTCATCACAAAAAGGGAGAGGAAATGCAGGGAAAATGGAGGTGGCAGGGGTACGGGGGTTGCTCTGGGAATTTCAAGGGACCAGGTATGACACAATTTTGAAGAGCACATGCGCTTCTTGTGTAGAGTTTGATCTCTGGCGTGGAGTGACTCCTGAGCAAAACCAAATATGGTTGCCCGGGTGCCACAGCAACAAAAATGAAAAATTCATGGTGTTAGCAAGACTTAAAACCAAGTGCAAAATTCATTATGTACATTTGTCATCAACTGGGGAAAATGCACTGGTGGTATTTTACAAACAGAGCTTGACTGCCCAACTGTAGAATCAAATCTAAAGAAATACAGTTTTTTAAAAGTCCCATAGTCTAGTGTGCCTGGGAGAATCAGGCTCAGCCAGAAACCTGGTGCCTGGAACCATGCATATGTCCATCCCGTCCCCCGTCCCCCCCCCCCCAAAAAAAAAACTAAGATCATTTAATGACCAGTGAGGAAAGATGGTACATATGAACTTTTTTGAGTGTGCTGTACTTCATAATGCTTAACTAAAAAGTCGTCACTAGGCTTCCAGTATCTTTTCCTTGCTACTATGTTTTGTTTTTCTTGGGTATACTTTCTCCCCCATAGCATTTTTAACTAAGTCATGTTGACGTCTGTGTAGTTCTTTACCAGACTACATCCTTGGTACTCTGAATATGTTCATTGTTGGTCCTCGTCAGAATTCATAAATGCTGAGTACATATTAACCAACTAAAAACTTGACTGATTTTGAAAATGTCTTGTTTATACCTTCTAAATCGGTAGCTTTTTAAGAACAGCAAGTTTTAATTTTTTAACCATTTTTACGCTTTTGACCTACAACTTACGCAACCAAATTATGTAAGATTTTTTGTACCACCTACATTGTCAGAATTCAATCAATTTATGTAGAGGAGTCACCAAAAATAGTTTTATGCAGTATAAATAATAGCTCTCTTGAGGACTCTGCCTCTTTGCCATCTCCTAAGAGATTTGTTTTGAACAGATTTCCTATTAGGTTAATCTTGTTCTGCAAGTAAAAATTGTGTACAAATTTACTCTTAAGAGGTATGATTAAGAAGCATTTGATTTAAAATAGTTCTAGTCTTAAAACATTTTGTCACCTTGTTTAAATCTTCAGAACACAAAATCATTCAGTATTTTTATGGCCATATTTATGGATAAATGGACAGTTCTACTTCCTTTGGTCTATTTCTCCTATTGTATGCCTTTTTTTAAATGTTCTGTTTTTAATTTATCTCTTCCTAATAAAAGGCATGTTAAAAGCTGAAGATTAGAAAGATTTCTCTTCTTTGTCAAACCAGGCTACTTTTAAGAAGCAAAGCTGTCACTGTCACTGTCCTCCCGTTGTTCATCAGTTTTCTTGAGCGGGCCCAGTAACATCTCCAGTGTGAGACTTTGTTGTTACTGTGTTTGACATATTGGATACGTCACGGGGAACTTGCCAGGCTTTGCCTTGCGGGCGAGATATTCTTGGTAGCTTGCTGGGCTCTCCGAGAGGGGCAGAGGAATCGAACCTGGTTTGGCTGGGCTGGCTGCATGGAAGGCAAACGCCCTACCACTGTGCTATTGCTCCAGTCCAGAACTATTAATAAGTGCCCTGAGAAAATGAACATAATTTAGAACTTTTCTGGTCATAGAGACTCTGCTGGACAACCAGGAAATAAGATCCACTTTAAAGAAAACAGTAGTACTTAATCTTATTCCTGTCCCACTTTCATGGAAAGGAAGGCAGCCTCCCTTCAGTTTTTAGTTGTTCCAGTTTTTTAGTGATGTGTTTGTTATTCCAAGATTTTTCAGTTTTAAATGTGTTGAATCAACAGCCTTTGTTTACCCCCACATCTCCATCCCCTAGGATGTTTTTGGTTAAAATTGATTTGGTATAATTAATTTACGTTTTTACAGCTGTATAAATATTCACCCGAACACAATTATACCTCCTTTCTTATTTTTTTTCCAATTCATAATTTCATCCACATGATTTCTTCCCTCCTCCCCTGTTCCCTCCCCTCATGTTCAGTCTGGATCAGTTGCTGTCTATGGTTTCTACATAACCTTTGTAACTATTACCTGGATTATAATTCTATTTGTTATGTGTAGATAACAGTAACTCTTGGCATGCACTGAAAAATGCGGAGTGAAAATTTGAAAAGTATTCTGACTTTTGAGAATGGAAGATACAAAGACAGAAAAAAAATTATAGCATGATGTTACACATAGTATGAATTCTTAAAAGAACAAATGAAGGAAAATGCTTGTTTCATGATCAGAAATTGGATAGGGAATGCATGCTTAACAATCACAGAAGTGTATGAGAGAATACTTGAGGAATGTGGGGGAGATTTGATTTAAGTATTTGAACAGTGGTAGATAAAAATAATACTTAGTGAAACATCCAGAATTTTTAGTAGTAAAATTGTAAATGTAAAACAGTAATATGGAAATTGTACAAATATACTATTAAGAGGTACGAATAGGAAACATTATATTTAATAGTTCTAGAGTTCTTAAACAATTTTGTCATACTGTTTAAATCCTCAGAACACAAAATCATTCACCACAAAAATTCACATTGCTAGAAAGGCCCAGAATAGAAGAAAACAAATTTCAATTCTCCATCCTACTTTTATCACCTTTACTCCCAGTAGGGAACCTTTGAACTTCAACGAGTGTTGAAGCCTTGTAGAATAGGGGTGACGACTTGGTTATGGTTATCGGGCTTGATATGTTTGATTTGCTTGGTTGATTCTTGATTCGAACTGACAATTGAGGATTAACAACCTAAGGTTGCATGCTTTTGCCCATGGCAATTAATCAAAATTTGCATTCCACAGGAACCTTAAACATGGAGTCCAAACCATCTCGGATTCCAAGAAGAATTTCTGTTCAACCCTCCAGCTCTTTAAGTGCTCGAATGATGTCTGGAAACAGAGGTAGTAGTTTAAATGATACCGTATATCACCCACGAGACTCTTCATTTAGACTGGATTCTGAATATCAGGTAACCATTTAATTTGGAATATATATGCACAGTCCCCATTTAAAAATCCTTGGATCCAAATTTATGAATTAAAAGGATTAGTGGAAATTGAATGTTTATTTAAATTTTTCTTCTCAAATACCTTTTTTTAAATTATGCTGGTCACTCTGGTGGCCTTGTTGATTCAACCAAACCTAAGTTCTTTCTCTTTAACATCACTCTTACTTCTTGGATTATTCTGCATGTACACAAAGCATTGTGGAATAATAGTTGTTAGGTGTTTCTTATTGTGTTGTTTTAGAGTATTGCTTCAAAGTACTTTGCATTTAAAGAGGTAGATGGTTTTCAATTAACTGCCCTTTGGGAAAGTCACACTATTCAAGAACTCTTTAAAAAATGTGTGGGTTTTGAGTACTAGGTTGTTGGGTTTTGAACTACCCTCATAGTTGCACAAAGTATTTATAGCCTCAGGACCCCTGAGCAATGCTTGGGAAACTCTCCTCCAAACGATGACAAGATTATTTTCATAGTTAATAATAAATGCCCTAATTCATATGTGTATCAAGCTACCCTTAGGTAAGCCTTTGGACTTAACAGCACTTGTGATTTGAAATGACATAACTTTTATGATAGGCTGAAAAGGATAAGTATCAAGACATAATTTGTTGGTTTAATGCAGTATATCCTGTACACATATCGTATTTAAATTTATTCATTATTGACTGAATAGCTACTTAGGTCATGTGATTTATTAGTCTAATATTTAATTGAATCTAAAAGTAAATTTCTGGAGGATTGGGATTTTTGTGTATGTTGTTGCTGATGATTAAAATTTCTAAATCTTAAAAACATGTAGTTAAGTAGACTATATAGCAATCTGATTTTAAAATATTTACAGTTATAAGCATTTTGTATAAATTATAAGAGACTGGGATAAATAAGATATTCCTCTAAAATGCCCCTAATCTACAACCCACTTTATATGAACTATTCTTAAATGTTGAACAGTTTCTTTTATAAGTTAAAATTTTTTTGTTTACCAGAGGGTGCATCACATATTTTACTGTAGCACTGTCCTTCCATTGTTCATCAGTTTGCTCGAGCAGGCCCAGTTACGTCTCCATTGTGAGACTCGTTACTGTGTTTGGCATATCGAATATGTCACGAGGAGCTTGCCAGGCTTTGCCGTGCGGGGAGGATACTCTTGGTAGCTTGCCGGGCTCTCCGAGAGGGGTGGAGGAATTGAATCGGGCTTGGCCGCGTGCAAGGCAAACGCCCTACCTGCTGTGCTACTGCCACTCCAGCTCTGTGCTATTGAAAAAAATTTTTTTTAATTTTTAAAAATTCAGCTACGTTGTTCCCACCAAAAAATCTAATGATGAAAAATTTCAGCATTTTGGCATGTCAACACCATCTCCCAGGCTGTTTCCTTGAAGCCAGACACAGCCAATTCCCCTTTATCAGAATACACATAGCATTTTGTGCCTGTGAAACTGAAAATCAACTGCCCGTCATGTTTGCCACTTTCCACCACACAGAGAGCCACGAGGTGGGGGGTGGAAGTGGGGGGGGTGGTCCTGATGGTTCCCCATGAGAGAATCCCAAACACAGGGCCCACATTAAAGCCTCAGATTAAAGCTCCCAACTCACAGCCCAGACCCTAAGCCCCATCATGGAATTCAATCAGAGCCCATAGAGCACCCCGTCAGGGAGTCCCATCCGAGTCCTATATAGGAACCCATCATAGAGCCCCAGTTAGAGCCCCCCCCCCCCCCGGGTCACACATATTTTACATCCTATACAAATGTTTTGAAGACTTAATAAGACTTAATTTTAATAAGTACAAGCTATTTTTCTCTGTTGCCTTTATAAAACTTGGGCTGCTCATGTTTGTCAGATTTTTCAGAGCTAACTAGTGAGGAGCTGGAGCGATAGCACAGTGGTAGGGCGTTTGCCTTGCACACAGCCAACATGGCCGACCCGGGTTTGATACCTCCGCGCCCTCTCAGAGAGCCCAGCAAGCTACCGAGAGTATCTCGCCCATACGGCAAAGCCTGGCAAGCTCTCCGTGATGTATTCGATATGCCAAACACAGTAACAAGAAGTTTCACGATGGAGACGTTACTGGGCCCGCTCGAGCAAATCGATGAACAACGGGAGGACTGTGACCGTGAACTAGTAAGGAACATAGATTCTCGTATTGCCTCAACTGGAGGGAGTTAAATATTTGGTTTTCTGGGCAAATTACTTTACATCCTTCTCATTTTTCATATAATTTAGTCAGTAATTGCCTTTCTTGCTGCATGATATACACTACATCAGTGTTAAGACTTATTTTTTAGCTTAACTGTTTTGAGACCATTCCTCAGCTTTTTTTAATTTGTTTTTGTTTGGGGGCCATACCCTAAGGTACTCAGGGGTTGCTCCTAGTTCAGCACACAGGTATCAATCCTGGCAAATTTAGTTTAGTGGACCTTTTGGGATGCTGGGAATCAAACCTGGGTCAGCTACCTGCAAGAAGCATAGGCTGGAGTCTTGTTTGCACCCCATCCTCCTAGTTTTTTAATATCAATCATTTTATATCATTTATATTATAGTTAAATCTCAGCATAAAAATTATTTTGTTTAAATTTAATTCTGTTTTGTATTTTGGGAAATGATAGCATTTTAAATCATAACTCAGTTGTTAATCGTTTTGCTTTGTTTTAAAATTTGACTTAGAAATGGAAACAATTTTTACTTGAGGAAAGTAATTTTATTTCTGCTTTTTTTCTTGTGTAAAATGGTGAAAACAGTAGCTTTTTCATTAAGCAGTTAGTAAGATTAACTGAACAGTATGGAACATCAGAGTTCAAATATCATTTATTTCAGGCATTTAGAACAGCCTGGAACATTAGAGTTCAAATATCATTTATTGTAATTGTTACAATTACTTTTGTTATTTTGCAGCTTTGCTTTGGTTTATATAATTGATCCTTGTGATATAGTATGTTATCACAGTATTTAAATTGCATGTGGCAAGGTTTTATTTAATCTTAAGAGAGGCCTGAAAGATAGTACAGCAGGTGGGACAGTTGCTATGCACGCAGCTGACCTGGTTTCAGTCCCCAGCACCCCATGTTTTCTGCTTTTCCCTGCTCTCTTCCCCTAGCATACCAGGAGTAAGACTTGAGTACTCCCAGTGTGATCCCCAGCCAAAAAATAAACATTAAGATTGCTCAACTTTGTAGTGCATTTAATGAATAAAACCTTTAAATATAAACAGGAGCATAGTTTTTTCCCCACTTGTATTATGTATCATACTCCTGGCAGGCTCTGGGGACTACATGGGTGCCAAGAATTGAACCTGGGTCGGCTTTGTGCAATGCAAGTATTCAGTGCAACTATCACTTTGCCCCCTCTCCCTCCTTTACCCCCCCTTTAATAGTACAGACACTTGTCATTCCATACGTTACACATTGTTTAAAGTTAAGAATCTAAGACTTCTAAGTAGCACTGTTTCCTTAAGAAGGTATAGATTCTAAGTTACGAATATTGAGTTTTCTAAATATGTTTTCATTCTCTGCCTTTTGTAAGCTTGCCTGCTTCTGTTAGTAATCTTGTGGGTATTTGTTACTCATCTTAAATTTTTGTTATAAATTGGTTGAAAACTGTAAACATCTTTTTGATAAATGTAAGTAGTTTTAAGTAGCTTGATATTAAAAGTTAAATTTGTGTAGGCCTCTGAATATGTGATCAATTTTATTACTTTTAATATATTGTTCTGTATCTTCATTTAAGGAACCCCTTTTCTCTTGCTTTAGTGTGAAAGATGGTTTTTTCTTTTGATTTTTTTGTCTTTTTTTTTGAGCCATATCCAGCTGTGATCAAGTGCAAAAGTTAGAGTCCTGGCCTCCAGCATATAAACATGTATTCAGACTGTTAAACTGTCTCTCTGGGCACAAGTTAGTGTACTTTTAAAGTAATGTAAAATGAAACTTTCTATAGGAGTCTATTAGGTTATTATAGAATGAATATTGTTATTTTCTATAGGAGTCTATTAGGTTATTATAGAATGAATATTGTTATTTTGCATTGTGTAGTTGAAAGACCCTTTGTTTTTGTTATGAGGGAATTTTTTCCTTATTTACTGCAAGAAAACATACGTGTATATATATTCAAAAGGAAAATTGTTAATGGCATCAAGGAAAATATTATATGCTGGAAGTCGGTCAAGGTTGTTACAGTGCTAGGCATTCATAAGACTTACAGTATGTTGGGGAAAGGTGGGCTGAATTAACCATGCTTAGGGTTCTTGGATCACTCCCAGTGTCACTCAGTTAACTAGTGTCAGTAGAACTGTTTAATACTAGGGCCTGAGAGTACAGTGCAACTTGGATCCATGCCTTAAAAGCATGTACCCCCAACCCCTGGAAATTTTCCCAACACAAAGCCTAGAGTACTTTTTCGTGTTTGTGTTTGTTTTTGTTTTTTAGGGGTGAGGGCACACCCTCTTAGTATCCCTGGTAGTTTTCAGGGAACCATGTTCCTGGAACCCAGCCAGTCATCTGCATACAAATAAAGTGCCTTAACCCATGTCATATCTCTTTAGCATTGTCCAGTAAGATTTGCCAGACAGCAGGGAGGTACTGTTGCTGTGAAACTGATAATAACCAGATAATCTCTTAACTCTTGAACCCTCATGAAACTTACTGTTACCAATTCCAGTTCTTCTGTAGTATTGATTTTTTTTTTTCTGTGTCCTGTAGAGTTCTACTCTAGTCAAATATTAAACATCTAATCCCATGCTACCCAAAGTGGGCATTATTCTGCCCAGATGAGGTTTGCTAGAGTGACCAGGGGATCTATAGAATATTTTGTTCCTTCTCTTACAGTAGATTTCCAGAGGAGTGCCAGATGATTTCTTTTTTTCTTTTCTCCATGGAAAGGGCTGTATAGAACAAGGAAGTCTGGGAACTTTGCTTTCTCTTTCAGTATTCTGAAAGAAGTAGGACCCTACTAATTGTTCAGGAGGCAGCTTGAACATCCACTCCATCATTTTCCTATCTCCGGCAGCTGCCTCTCAGCATATCTGAGGGCTGATTTACATTGTTGGCATATATCATAACTTACATATTACTGGATAATAAATATTTTTTAGTATGAATACTACATTTGGTTTATCCACTAGCGGATATTTGGGCTGTAAGGTTCTTTTTGAACTTATATTTTCAGTTATCATGGGATTATTAAAAGTGGAAAAACTGAGCCATAAGTCCTATGGTAGTATGCCCAGTCCTGTGTAATTATACATTCAGTTATTTGAAGAATTGACACTTTGTGAAGCTGACTAGACCATTTTAGATTTCCACCAACAGATATATATATGGTAGTTCTGATACTGCCAGAACTTTGCCAATACTGTTTTTTTTTTTTCAAAGGTAGTTTGCGATAGCACAGCGGGTAGGGCATTTTCCTTGCACACAGCCAACCCAGGTTCGATTCCTCTGTCCCTCTCGGAGAGCCTGGCAAGCTACCAAGAGTATCCCACCTGCACAGCAGAGCCTGGCAAGCTACCTGTGATATATTCAATATGCCAAAAACAGTAACAAGTCTCACAATGGAGACGTTATTGGTGCCCGCTTGAGCAAATTGATGAACAACGGGAGGATGGTATTACAGTGCTACAGTTTTTATTAAAACTTACTTAGATGTGAGGGGAGAGAAAGAGAGAAGTGCATTTGAAAGAGAACACAGGCTTCTCCTGAGTGGAAATAAGCAGAGACAGAGAAAGGCAAACCATACATGGCTTTAAGGGAAAACACAGGCTTGAAAAGTAAGCCCATCTTTGCCAATACTTAACATTGATTCTGGTAATACTGTGTTATATGTGAGGCAGCATCTCATTATAGTTTTATGAAATTGTAAAATTTTATAAAAATCATTATAGGATTTATTTGTTAAGTTGAGCAAGAAAGTAGAAAACTGAAGATAAATACTAGCTGTTCTTAGTATTTTGCTTTGCCTCTTCTGCTTTTTCACTTATCTGTAAGGTTTGGTACTACCATAGCCTCTTTCAGAGGATTGAAGCAGAGGGAATATTTGCAGCAGCAGACTCATACTTGAGGTCAGCATTACCCACATACCAATACATAGACATAACAAGAAAGAAAATTATAGACTGCTGTCTTTTCCTCTTGACATTCATTACTATCTCCAACCAGTATAGAGATTGTATATCAGATGTACTGTGTGCATCTATCTCTATCTCCATGAAAAGACATTAGGACGGGCTTGAAAGTTTTATTTAAAAACAGTGTGATTTTGTAAATGTCCTTTAATTATACTCTTTTTACTTAAATATTTAAGAAGATCAACTAATTTCCTTTTTTACGTTGCACTATTTAACCAATGAAGACAAGTAAAACAGTTTGGACATTGAGTGACGTTTGTTTAGCGCTGTTTTGTTTATATTATGTATAGGTTCACTGTATCACTGTCAACCCATTGTTCATCCATTTACTGGAGCAGGCGCCAGTAACGTCTCTTCGCCCCACCCTGAGATTTTAGCAGCCTCTCCTTTCTTGTCTTTCCCAACAATCGAGGCTCTTTCAGGGTCACGGGAATGAGACCTGTTATAGTTACTGGTTTTGGCATACTGAATGTGCCACGGGGAGCTTGCGAGGCTTTGCTCATGTGGGGAGCTTGCCGGGCTTTCCGAGAGGCATTATGTATATGTTAAAAGATAAAAACATTTGGGGCTGGAGTGATAGCACAGCGGTTAGGGCGTTTGCCTTGCACGTGGCCAACCCGGGTTCAATTCCCAGCATCCCATATGGTCCCCAGAGCACTGCCAGGAGTAACTCCTGAGTGCAGAGCCAGGAGTAACCCCCGTGCATCACCAGGTGTTACCCAAAAAGAAAAAAAAAGATAACATTAAACCAAAATGTATGTGTATGTGTCCGAGAGGCATCATGTATGTTTTAAAAGATTAAAACATTAAAACTTCTAAAAATTTATTCTCCGGGGAACCAGAGAGGTAGTGCAGTAAGTCATCTGGCCTTATATACGCCCGGTATGGGCTTGAACCCCAGCACTTCATTCGGTCCCTAAACCCACAAGGAATATCTCCTGAGCACAGAGCCAAGAATACACCTAGTACAGCCAGGTGTGACCCAAAATCCAAAAATAGATAAGCAGAAATTGACTTTTTTGCTTAGCATACCATTTGCCTCTAATCCTGCAGTAGGTGTTAGATCCAGGAATGTGGGTCATTTTCATATTATCAATTATTTTATGTAACATTGGCTTTGGAGGGATTCTCTCCAACTCTTAAGAAGGTGTTAAACCTTTTTAAAAAAAATTGTCAAGAATTCCTGTTTCAGTGTTTATATTCACATAGAAGGCTTATTAATTTTAATCATGACTGCCCAGCAAAGTACATTACAGAATAAAAGGGACAAATGTATAAAGGGGGGGCAAGATGGAGGTTGACTAAAAGACTAAAGAAATCTTAATATGATTGGAGAAAATGAGCTTGTGAAGAATGAATGGTCTTGTATTAGAGCATGGTAGTTTATGTTTAATTCTAAATACAAGTTTAATAATTTTAAAACTTTTTTCACCTACAGACCACATCAGCATCAGCATCTACATCACCATTTCAGTCTACATGGTATGGTGAATCTGAGATAACTCAGGGAGCACGCTCAAGATCACAAAACCAGCAAAGGGATCATGACTCAAAAAGACCTAAGCTTTCTTGTACCAACTGTACATCTACCTCAGCTGGGAGAAGTGTTGGACATGGTTTAAATGCAGTGTCAGGTAAGAATTAAATTTGTGTAAAAGTCACTATGATTTTTGGAGTAAATTTTTTTTCAAAAATAGACAAAGTGTTTTCTATTTCTATTACTATTACTTACAAAGTAATATATGTAAGACATGTCAGTCAGCGATGTAATAGTGGCTTTCCAAAATATATCCTGTATTATGCCAGAACTGAAATTTACTTTGGATTTTACAGATGTCTTATGCAAATAGGTATTAGCAAATTTTAATTAATTAGAATGGCTCAAGTTGATAAAAGTGTTGTGCATTCTACTGATTATTATAGAGGATAAATTTGGTTATTTGGGGGCCATATCCCTCAGTGTTTACCTAATCTACTCCCATCTTTGTGTGGGTTTGTGTCTGATAGTATTCACCGGTGCATGTTGTTCTGGGGGTTGACTCCTGAGTTCCTGCATAGGAAGCATTTGCTCAACTCTTTGAGCTGTCTCTCTGGCCTCATTTTTAAAATAGTTTTAGAGGAGTCACGTTTACTACAAAAAATCAAGCATGTTTTTTAAAATAATACCGAGGTGGTACATGATAAAATTCTTAATCAAAAATAGTTGGTTTTACTCTAATTGTTGGGTACAAGAAATTAGAAAGGCATGGTTCTATCCCTTTGACTAGGTATATGATATTGGATGAATTAACTGACCACACTGGAATTTAAATTTTTTTGTTTGCTTTGGAGCCACACCTGTGGTGCTTAGTAATCACTCCTGGCAGAACTCAGAACCATACAAGGATTGAATCTGAGTCAGTTGCATGCAAGACAAGCACCCCATCAGATGTACACTCTACCCCATTTATAGATTTATTAAAATTACTTTTTTGTTGACATATTTCATTACTGTTTTACATGCTTTTTTTTCCCCCCTTTTTGGGTCCCACCCAGCGTTGCACAGGGGTTACTCCTAGCTCATGCACTCAGGAATTACTCCTGGCAGTGCTCAGAGGACCATATGGGATGCTGGGACTCGAACCTGGGTTGGCCGTGTGCAAGGCTAACACCCTACCCGCTGTGCTGTTGCTTCAGCCCCAATGCTTAATATTTTGTAATTACAAATTTCTTTCTCAAATTGGAAAGATCCAGAGAGGATCACGGTCTCCTTCATCATTTAATCCCTTTTCATATAAAACAAAGACTAGCCAAAGCTCAAATAATTTAAAGTAGGACAGAATTTGTGATAACACAATTGGAGATTAAATTATTTCCAATTCAGTTAATATTAAGTAGTTCTTTTCTACTCTAATAGTACTGCTATGGAATGGCATTAAGTATTGTAATGGGCCATTGCTTATTGACTTTGACTTTGTGGACAAACACCGTTTTGTATAGATACCTTTGTTCTCTGCTTTGTAAAGAGCACACATTTCCCATTTTCATGCATCTTTAGCTATTTTCTAGCTTGCTTTTATTTACTTTCATGAAATATCTTGTATTTGGCATGTTTTATATTTTCTGTAATCATTTCATAGTCATGAATGGAACTGTGACATTCACATCATGGGGTAGATTAAACTATAATATAATAGTTATTACTACTACTGAAGATTTGTTATCAGCACAGTCTTTAAAAGTTTTCTTTGAATTAAACTTCTTCATTTATTTTAAGATTCTTCTTGGAGGCATAGTCAAGTTCCTAGATCATCATCAATGGTACTTGGATCCTTTGGAACAGACTTAATGAGAGAGAGGAGAGATTTAGAGAGGAGAACAGATTCCTCCCTTAGTAATCTTATGGATTATAATCATCGAAGTGGTGATTTCACAACTTCATCCTGTACGTATTTTATATATAGCTTATATTGTTAGATTTTCCTACGTAACATTAAGATCATAATACAGAAGAATAAATGAAGTTAATCTTTTAAAGATACTTTAGTATATGTTTTCTACTATTTTTTATGTTAAACAGTACATATTTATAAGTACTCAGATTGTTAGCCCGTGAATGTTACTTGCTATTATCATTTTGAATGTGTCATAAATATACTAATTGTATACTTCAATATAACTTGTGTTATTTTAATTAATAAGAGTTAAGAATCTGTGTTTAACTAAAGCTTGACTTCTTTGTAAAGCATAATCTAGAATTAGTTTGACATTAGAGTCTTTGATTTCATTCAGTTAAATAAAGGGACATACTCTTTTCTGTCAGTATATAAATGTAAGTTATTCAAAAATAAATACCATAAAATAGTAAGTAATGAAAATCAAATAAAGGTGACAAACACAAGAGGTAGTATGTAGAAAATAACAAGTTTGTTTTTAAAAGGTTTGTGTTAATAATGATCTTACTAGGACAACTCCTTCCTCCCCTGTCTCTTTTTTAAGATCAGTAAGTCATTTTTTTGTTGCTTGGCTTTGGATGGGAGGTACTTTATAGACAGTGTCCATTGCTTCTGGGTTTAGTATATGACAGATTTAGTTCTAAATAGTTTATCCTTTCATGAGACCCATGTATTCTCACAGTACCAATCTAGTGCTTAGTATATGGAAGAGTATATTTTATAAAAAGAACGCTCTAGTGATTCCCATCCCATTTGAAGATTAGAACTACCAGTAATTAATAATTTATTTATAAAATGTAGGTACTCTTAGCTCAAAGCCAGTATTAAAGTTTAATCTTATGTTATAATGTTGCTAATAACCTGAAAGAAAATATAAAAGATTGAAGAAATGCTTAGCTGTTAGCATGGTCTCTATAAAATTATACCCTTTCACAAGGATAATAATAATTACATGAAAAAATACCTATCTTCACTGTGGAGTCAAAAGTGTTTAAAACATCTCCCTATGATTTTGCTCTTGTTAGTAATTTAATATTAGGCATTGAATTTGGCCTATTTAAAATTCCTTATCCAAGGAGTGGAGAGATGGTACTGTGGGTGTGGCACTAGCCTTGAATGCAGATGACCCTGGTTCACTCCTCAGCTTCCCATATGGTCCCCAAGTGCCAGCAGAAGTGATCCATAAGTGCAGAGCCCTGAGTAATCGATGAGCACACTGGGTATGCCCAAAAAATGAAATTCCTTGTCCTGACAGACAGTAATACTCCTACCATTTTGTTTTCTGATTAATAAATTCCGCTGTTTGACCTTAATCAGATTAGTGTGATGTTTGCCTCACAAGCTATAATGTATTTTGTGAAGTTTTTTATAAAAATGGTTTAGCTTTATAGTTATATTGCAGTAATCAGTTTGAATTCTGGATCTCATTTTTGTAAAATTAGTAGTAGCTAAATGGAAATTTGTTAATGCTCAGATTATTTTATATAATTGGCATTATTTTTCCTTTCAAAATTAGATGTTCAAGACAGAGTTCCTTCTGCGTATTTACAGGGAGCAAGACCAAAAGAGAATTCAGTGAGCACTTTACAGTTGAACACATCATCCACTAACCACCAGTTGCCTTCTGAACATCAAACCATGCCATGTTCTAGGGACTCGCGTAGAAATTCTTTAAGATCAAATTTTTCTCCAAGAGAATTGGAATCTCCACAAGTACACAGTATACAGCCTGGGTTTTCTTATATTTCAAATCGAGATGAAACCTCACCCATAACCAGTTCGGATAGAGTTGGTTCATCTCAAAGATCATTTCAAGTATCTTCTGACAATGAAGGTAGACGAACAACCAGAAGATTGCTGTCACGTATAGCTTCTAGTATGTCTTCTACTTTTTTTTCACGAAGATCTAGTCAGGATTCCTTGAATGCAAGATCATTGAGTTCTGAGAATTCTTACATTTCTCCAAGAATTTTGACAGCTTCACAGTCTCGTAATGCAGCATCAACTTCTGACCTTCCTGATAATAGGTCATCCGAAGCTTCTCAGGGATTTCGATTTCTTAGGCGAAGATGGGGTTTATCATCTCTTAGCCAAAATCATAGCTCTGAGCCAGAGTCAGAAAATTATAACCAAGAATCAGAAGGTAGAAATACAGGACCATGGTTATCATCGTCACTTAGAAATAGATGTACACCTTTGTTCTCTAGAAGGAGGCGAGAGGGTCGAGATGAATCTTCAAGAATATCTACCTCTGATATACCATCTAGATCTCATCATATTTTTAGAAGAGAATCAAATGAAGTGTTCCATCTTGGAGTACAGAATGATTCCCTTGGGGCTGCTGCCACCAGACCACAAGCATCTGCAGCTTCCGGCAGTGCAGCCATCGGTAGTTCTGCATCAGATTCAGCTTACAGCGGAAGGAATACAGGAATAACTGGAATTCTTCCTGGTTCTTTATTCCGATTTGCTGTCCCCCCAGCACTTGGAAGTAATCTGACCGACAATGTCATGATCACTGTAGATATTATTCCTTCCGGTTGGAGTTCTTCTGATGGAAAAAATGATAAAACTAAAAGTGCACCTTCCAGGGACCCAGAGAGACTACAGAAAATAAAAGAGAGGTAAATTTAAATCATAAAGAAGATTTAGAGAAATGTTTTTTCTAAAATGGCTCCTTAAACATTTAAAGTTCCTTCCTTAAATTTATATCCAGTAAGGTATATATCTCAAAGCAAGTGGTTCAGTGTATGAAAGTTAAAAGATAGTATAGACACTAGAAGTATAAGGAAGTTATCTATAAAGATTATTGGTTTTGTTTGGGAGCCACACTTAGTAGTCATAGGAGACTTTGTTGTACCAGGAATCAAACCTAGGACTCCTGTATGCTTTGCCTTCAGTCCAGCCCCTGTAGGTTACTTTTCTCATTTATTTTTGTTTTTGGGTTTTTTGGGGGGGTTATACCCAGTGGTGTTCAGGGGTCACTCCTAGCTCTGGGCTCAGGGGTCATTCCTGGCAGGCTCAGGGGACCATATAAAGTACCTGTGATCAGACCTGGGTTGGCTACATGCAACGTAAGCACCCTACACACTACTCTATACAGCCCCTTTTCTCTGGTTTTGATACAGATAAAGATCAAAATCTGGTAGCTTATATTGCTAAACCAATTTTTGTAAGGACATAAAGTCATGAGTTTTCTAGTCTCTCACCCTTTGTTTTTATTTTTTTAATGTAGGAGTATTTCTATTTCTTCAGCCATGATTAAGCTGATTGAATTGGGCATGAACTCCACATTACTTTTTTATTTTATTGTATCACTGTGGTCTCTCAGCTTTTATTAGGATGATTGATTTATCATTTATTATATTTCTTACCTCACACCTCATATCTTTTTGAGACAAAGTAGGAAAAGTTGCATAATTTTAAAATTTTGCTTTTGAAGTTCAAAGGTGTATCATGAATATAATTTTAAAATCTGAAATGGTGTTCAGATAAGGTATTTTGGGTGGGTTATTTCATAAAGACCTAATGTGAATGAATTGTTCAGTAGCATACTTATTACTGTTAGTTTGGATTATTTTATACTTAAAAAGGAATGCATTTAAAACCACAGGACCCAAAAGGGGGGGGGGGGGCAGAGAGAGAGAGAGAGAACAAAAGGGAATGCCCTACCACAGAGGCAGGGTGGAATAGGGGATGGGGGGTGGGAGGGATGCTAGGATCCGGGGCGGTGGAAAATGGGCACTGGTGGAGGGATGGGTACTTGGTCATTGTATAACTGAAACCCAAGCACAAAAATTTGTAAGTCTATAACTGTACCTCATGGTGTTTTCACTAATAAGAAAAAAAAGAAAAAGAAAAAAAAAAGGAATGCATTTAAATCTAACTGGTTGTAAAAGGAGTTCACTTTTCTTTTTGTTTTTTCCTTTTTGGGTCACACCTGGCAATGCACAGAGGTTGCTCCTGGCTCATGCACTCAGGAATTACTTCTGACGGTGCTCGGGGGACCATATAGGATGCTGGGAATCTAACTGAGGTTGGCCGCGTGCAAGGCAAATGGCCTACCTGCTATGCTATTGCACCAGCCCCAGAAGTTCACTTTTTTGAGATGTTAATTGTCAGGCTACTATACACTTTTATTTTCCTTATGGGGGCGTTAGTTACCATGTGATTTATTCTTTTACTATTTGCTATTTTTCCTTTCTTGGGAAGGTGAGATTTATTTTACCCTGATAATCTTAACTTGGGATGGAGGGGTGGGAGTGGGGCTGCTTGGAACATACCCAGGAGTGCTCGGTCTTATTCCTGGCTCTGCATTCAGGACGTGGGGACAATATGGGATGCTAGAATGAACCTAGGTTGGCCACTTGCAAGGCAAAGTGCCCTATCCTCTTACTATTCTCTCCAGTCCTAATCTTAGCTACTTTATAGCAATTTACTTTGATTTTTAAGCTGCATGCTGAAGTATATAGTATGGTTGAGTTAAATTTTGAGTTAAATGGTTGAGTTAAATTTTTTTTCAGGTGAACTTGAGTGGTAGTATATTACAGCAAAGCATTAGGAATTCTCAGAAGAAACAGATAAGCCAGCATTACACCATCATTGTAAACTAGCAAGTGTTGTTTATTTAGCCATAGCATATGCTTTGTCTTCCTTTTACTCATATTATTTTAAGACATTTTAAATAAGAGAATAAAATTGTAGAATCTCAGAGTTAAACTACTGGAAACTATGATGTGAAGAAAGTTAAATTTAAAGGTTAAAATAGATTCTTATGTATCAGATTGGCTCTCTGGTTAATCAGTACATGAGAATCATCTAATTTCCTTATTATACACATCTTATTTATATTTAGGAATTAATGTATCCAAAGTTTTATAACAAAAATTTTTAGCCATCATTCTGCATTTGAACAGTTTGTATTGGCCTCTTAGAGGATATAGGTTAATTGCAACTGTTCCACCCTTGGACTACTCTTACTGAAATCAGAATGATTTAATGACATTTCTGGGTTTGGGAAAATAGACAAAATATGAAGGCATTTTTTTGTGATTTAATACAAAATGCTTGTCATTTTAAACATGGTTCTAGTCTACTGTAGAAATTAAAATCTTAGGGATATTTGTAAAGTGATTTTGAAAACTAACTTAAAACTGCACTTCTGAGGGGCAAAATTGTTTAAATCATTTTACTCTAATGATCTTTAAAATGATAGAATTTTCTTTCTCATAGACATATTGGGGGATCTCCCAAGCAATCCTCAGGGCCCAGATAAAACCCCCAGCAATACAGGAATAGTCCAGATGATTCAATATTCAGCTGTGTGATACTTTGCTTTTCTAACTGAGCAGTGCTGGACTACCAGGGGCGCTCCTGGTGCCTGGTGGTACTGAATTTTGCATTTCCAGGAGATAGAACTCTGACCTCCCAGATGCAAAGTATGTACTTAAGCACTTCAAGCTATCTCCCTAACCACATCAGAAATGTGTTTTCATGGTGAATGCAGTTTGTTGTTGTTTCTTTGTATTCAGGAAAAGCATGAATAGAAATACTCCCTGAGTAGAAAAATAGAGATCCTTTTGGGGATTGTATACAATTTTAAGTGACCAACTTCAATAAGTCATGATGGCCCTATTTAGGAAATACATCTTTTTCCAGCCTTCTTTTAGAGGACTCTGAAGAAGAAGAAGGTGACTTGTGTAGAATTTGTCAAATGGCGGCCGCATCATCATCTAACTTGCTGATAGAGCCATGCAAGTGCACAGGAAGTTTGCAGTATGTCCACCAAGAGTGTATGAAAAAGTGGCTACAGGCCAAAATTAACTCTGGTAAGATTTCGTTCAGAATTTATGCAAAAGATTCATGTATTATGCATATTTTAGTTAACACATCTGATCATAGTTTATTTTTTGCTAAATGTATATTCATCAGAATCTTAATTCTGCTTAAACCACATTTGTAGCAAAGGTGTTAAAGAATATTAGTCTTACTTAATAAAACTAATTTGTGATTTTTTTAAAATTTTATTTACTAAAAAATTTTTACATGTGCAGTAAAAGTGATTCAGTTTATATTGATATTAGATTATGTAAAAAATCCCTTTATATCAATTAATATACTTCTTATTGGTTTTTTGTCTTTGAGAAAGACTCAGCTCCAATACTGCAGTGTCAAGTTCTGTATAGAAGAAAAATGTAGGAATTAACTTGAGTGCTTATTACCGACAAAGTTTTATATACAGCATGTAGAGGGGAGTGAGCACAATTGAAGGTGCATTTGCTTTTGCATTGGTGTTGAAGGTATTCTTTGTTGAGGTGAGGACATCTAATTAAAGCAAGTTGAGCTAGGTATTTCAGGATGTGAGGGCAAGAAAGCAGTCCAGCAGAACCACTTGTGCGAAGACTTTAAAAGTGAATATGGAGGGCTGGAAGTGATAGTATAGAGAGCTGGACATTTACCTTGTATACAGCCTACCCAGTTTTAATGCGTGGCATTTCATATGGTCTCCCAAGCACCAAAACACCAGGAGTAATTCCTGGGCACAGAGCTAGAGTACCCCTGTGCATTGCAAGGTATGACCCAAACCTCCCCCCAGCAGTATAAATTGAAAGTGACTTGTGTGTCTGAAACACTAAATAAAACCCCTTGTATCTGGATAAATTAGTAGATAAAGTGAAGATATGATATGGTTGAAGTAAGAGAATTTAGCAGTGCAGTTTGACTTCTAACACTAGTCTAAAACTTGGATTCCTCCCACCCACCCCATTCCCCATCACATGTTTTTTAATAGATGCACCATGGGGTACACCATTACAAAGTTGTTTCAGTCACAGTATTCCGACACCCATCCCTTCACTCTAGTGTGCATTTTCCACCACCAGCCTGCCTCTATTTCAGAGACTTTTATTCCTTCACCCCACGCACACCCCTTCCCCTCCCCCCCCCATTTCTCTCACTTGCAATACAGGTACTTAAAGGTTATCATGTATATCACTTTACCTCCTTTCCGCACTTGGCTCTTGTCCACAGTGATCATTTCCAACTACCATTGTCATAGTGGTCCCTTCTGTGTTCTAACTGCATTCCCCCCTTCCTTATGGCAAGCTTCCAACCGTGGACCAGCCCTCCTGGCCCTCATTTCTACTGTCTTTGAATACTATTCTCATATTATGTGTTTTTCTATCCCATAAATTAGTGCAGTCATTCTTTGTCTGTCTTCCTTTAACTCATTTCACTTGACATGCTACTCTCCATGTTCATCCATGTATAAAAAGCTTGGATTTTTTAAAATAATTTTTTATTTTATAAGTTTTATTTTTTTAATTTTATAGTTCACAATATTTATTTTAATTTTTTATTTTATAGTTCACAATATTTATTTTAATTTTTTAATTTTATAGTTCACAATATTTGATTACACTTGATATTAAAACACAATCCCACCACCATATTTTGGATGTCCCAACCCCAACCCCTGACCCAAAGCAAAACTGAAATAATATTTTGTATTGTGTTATGAAAAACTGCTGAAAATGCTACAAAAAACAGTTTCCTTAGAGGATAGAGTGTAAAGAGTATGAAAATTGTTGTATTTCACTGAGGAGTCATGAAGCCCTTCTATAAGAGATCACTAACACATTTCTAAAGGTTGAGCCTTGCGTATCTGTTTTTAAAAAAATTTCCTCTTAAGATTGGTTGCTCCCACTTTGAACATCATCAAATGTGGTGCGGTACTCTTGGAGTACGAGTAGGGTGTGTGGTACAAATGTTGTGCGGCCTCGTGCTCTAGGAAGAGACTCACTCATGGGTGAGGCTCGGCCTGAGCCTTGTGGAGGGGGTTGTGAGCATGGCGGCAGTTGAGTTCTGGAGGTTTTCGGCTACTGGGGCTGGGTTCCTAGGGGTGGGGAGGGGTCTCACCCACTCGCCTTCTGGGTGTCTCGAATGAAACAGCGTGGTGTGAGGTTGGACGGCATGGTTATAGCATGGTTATAGCAAGTGTCATGTTTCCTTTGCGGAGAGAAGGACATGTGACTCTGGGTGGTGGCTAATGATGAGATTACCTGGTGCCAGCCAGAGGTGGCTTATGGGCATGACTGCTGAGTTGCTGGAGACGGGGATACAGGCAGAGAATCCCCCGTTCCAGGTCCCATTGAACCCAGAGTTCTTAGTCACAAAGTTCTGCATACCTGGGTTTTCTGGGGGTTCACTCATGGGTAAGGCTCAGCCTGAGCGTGTGGCGAGCAGCTGTGAGTGAGCGTGGCAGCAGTTGAGGAAGCTTGGAATTTTTAAGTACAATGGAAAGCTATTAATGGACAGGTGAGTAAAATTTCATATTTTGGCTACTCAGGAAGTATAAGAAGTGAGACCAACCCTTAATCTATTGTTGTAGCACTTCGAAAGAATTTCTGGTGGTAGTAGATTAACGGGATCTGGTGCATTTTGGAAGTGTTTCTGTAAGATTTGCCAATTGTATTTGAAGTAAAATAAGCCAGTACTTTCAGTGAGTAAATACTGGCATTATTTACTAAATACTGGATAATAAGAATTTAGGGCCACCAGAGCGATGGTACAGCAGGGAGGACGTTTGCCTTGCACGCAGCTGACCTGAGTTTGATCCCTGGCATCCTTTGTGGTTTCCCAAACACCTCAGGAGTGATTTCTGAATGCAGAGCCAGGAGTAACCCGTAAGCATCGCCGGGTTTGACCCAAAAAGCCAATAAATAAAGTTTTTTAATTACTTTGAAAAATTTTAGGGACTGAAGAGATTCTCCAGATGCTGGGGTGCTTGTCTTGCATGTGGGCTGACCTGTGTTCAATCCCTAGTACCCCATTTTGTCTCTTGAGACATGCCAGGAGTAAGACCTGAGCACTGTCAGAGGGGTGTGTGTGTGTGTGTAAATATATTTGATCATAGTATTAGAGGATATAGTAAAAAAGATCCAGTGGGATGAGAAAGATAGAAAAATACCTAAGGTTAGTAAATATATATTGTGTGAAGTTGAAGGTCTGAAAATGATAACTTGGTGTGACAGGCAAAAAAAGTGGTAATGGTTCATTTTTATTTTATTAATCTGTTGGAGTAGTTTAGTGACCTCTCCAAGCTGAAAATTATGAGGCTACTTCCTCAACCAGGGTATAAGAAGCCACTACAAGAGGTTACCTTTTCTTCTAAGCAAACCTGATTTCAAAGCTACAGCATAGGCCATCTCACCATAGCAGCTTTGCTGTGTTTTATTAAGATAGCCTCGTAGACTTTATTAGTTACTGCTCCGAGGTGTTATTAAGATTAAATGCATGCTTCATATATTTCTTAATGTAAGGATCTAAAATGTTAAACCCAAAACCTTGACTCACCTTCCCATAAATTAGCAGTTAGATAATTTGTTAGAGACAGAAAACAGAAGACTGCACTGTTTAAGAATATTGACTGTTTTGTAATTGACAACACTTGTTTTAAATAATGGATACACTTACCTGGGCTTCTTGAGTACCACTCCTGCAATCTCTTAGATGCACACCCTCCTTCCCCCCCACTATTCTCAGGCCCTTGGCCTAGAACTTGTTACACAGGCTCTGCTGCAGTGCTCAGAGAATCAATCCCAAAGTCAGCTGTATACAAGGCATGTGCTATGACCCCTTAAGTGCTCAGGGCTTACTCTTGGCATGTCTTAAGAGACAGTATGGGGTGCCAGGGATTGAACCCAAGTCGGCCCACATGCAAGACAAGCACCCTACCCTCTGGATTATCTCTTCAAATCTATTCCTGAACATTCTTAAGTTTGGGGTTTGTCCCTGATTTCTCATAAATACTATTGAACAGATAACTATATTTTTATTGTAGTTAGGTTGCACACAATCCTAAGTACATACACGAGGCTGCCCCAGATACAATCCTGGCACTGGAAATGACCAGTCCTCTGAGTACCACCTGGAGTGATCTTTGTGCACAGCTGGGTGTGGCACCAAAGTAAAATTTTTTGAAAGAGCCCCATCATGTGAAAGATACATTTGATACTCATTAAAACATTAATTAAGCATCTTCTGTATATATACTGAGAAATAAAATAGGCATATGCAGTCAGGGGGCTACTGAATGAGAAAGTGTAAAGATAAAAACCTGGTTTTTAAAACTGCAGGCATTAAGGAATAAACACATTCTTGTGCTGTTTTTGAACAATTTCTGCAGGACACTTACAAATGCTATAGAAGAGTAAAAAGCCCAAAGTTATAAAAGAATATCTCCAAATTAGATGTATTTTAATGATTATTCTTTTCTGCTTCTGAATGAGTAGTCTTGTTTTGGGATTTGGGGCATTTAGGCAGTTTTCAGGTATTTGTCATGAATGTTCAGATTTATTCCTGGCAGTGCTGAGGATTATAATACCTAGGGTCAGATGCAGGAAGGCAAGTGCCTTGACCCCAGTACTATATCTGTGGTCCCTGAATTAGCATTTTTTTAAAAAATGTTTATTAAAATAAAGCTTTTATGAAATCTCCCAATTTCTTTATAGTCCTCATTAGGTCATATATCAATTCTTGAGTCGAGCTTAAAATTTTTAAATGTTTGTGGCTGGAGTGTTAGTATAGTAGGGAAGGCGTTTTCCTTCACAGATCACAGATCATCCTGTTATTTGTCGGTTGCCTCGAGCAGGCCCCAGTAACGTCTCCTTCATCCTAGCCCTGAGATTATATTCAAGGCTCTTTAGGAGAATGAGACTCATCATTGTTACTGGTATTTGGCATATTGGGTACGCCACGGGGAGTTTGCCAGACTCTGCCATGTGGGCAGGCTACATTCGGTAGCCTGCCAGTTTGTCAAAATAGGAATGAGATGTCATAATAAGATGTCGCTTGGCCGCTGATGGGATTACACAGCGCCAGGGGGCCAGTTGGTGGGTGTGACCCCCGCCTACTGGAATTTGGAGGATCTGGGTGGAGGATGCTCGACTCCAATCCGAGTAGGCTTGGAGATCTTGGCCCCGGAACCCACGTGGCTTTGTCCCTCTGCCGGTACCTTCAGGTGTGCGGAGAGTGGTCTCAGCATGGTGGTGACTGGTCCTGGAGGTCTTCGGCTGTCGGGACCCTGGCCAGGGCGGGGAGGAAAGCTCAAGCTGCTCCCCTCCAAGGGGCCCCGGCGAGGAATAGCCAGGCGCGGGGGCAGGAGACTGCGCTCTTCTCCTCCGGGAGCTGGTTTTTATAGTCTCAGAGTCTTGGCCGCTGATTAGTTAGTATAGTAGGGAAGGCGTTTTCCCTGCATATGGCTAACCCAAGTTCAATCCCCAGCATCCCGTATGATTCCCCAAGCACTGCCAGGAGTATTTCCTGAACGCAGAGGCAGGAGTAACACCTAAGCACCATTGGGTGTAACTCGGAACCAAAACATTGTTCACATCATTCTTATTATAGTTTCATGTCTGCTAGTCTTAAAAATATGCCTTATTCATTTATTTGAACTATAAGGAATATATTTGGTTATTTAAATTAAATTCTGAAACAACACAATACACTATCTCATTATAGCACTCCGCTATTTTCTAGACTTAAAAAGTTACACTTGCTCTTTTAATGCCAAATTTAGATATTAAAGCAAGGCTCAAAATGGAGTAATTAACATTAAAGCTTAGGTCACAAAACCAAAACTTAATTGTAGTTTCGACCTCACCTAGTAGAGGAATTTTAAACCAGTCAATCAGGAATCACTTGATCAACATTAATGAGGTAATCTTCCTGATAGTCTAAAAGAATTTCCTAAAGGAAACTGACTTGTTTGCTTCAGCCACTCTGCTTTTTGTTTTTAAGTTCCTTGTTCCTATTCTCTTCCTTCTGTAAGTCTTGTTTTACACTGTCTTGGACCTTCTTTCTGTCTGCCTGGTATATGCCTTCAGATAAATGAGTGGAGTGGAATATCTGTTAAATGTTGGAACAGGGGAGCTTTTTATTCTTTCAGTGTGATAAAGTATAATGTAAAAGATGTCCTTTTGCTCATTATTTATTAAGTGTATAATTATTTGACACCAAGTAATATAGAATGTTCTGATCATTACTGCTATTTCCTAAAGTTTATATGATCCAAAACAGAAGCTATATTCATTAAATAGTATCTTCATCTCCCCATCTCTTAACCACAACTATCAATTCCTCCAATCCCTGGTAGCTTTTGTTGTACATATTTTTCCAAATTTACCTATTATACGAATTTCTTATAAGTTAAATGATAGTGTATTTACTTAAACTTTTGAAGTTTATGTTGCATCAGGACATTCCTATAACTGAATAATGAATAAAAGTGGACTTTTTATTTTCTTCTCCTACCCAGTACCAACATCAGGTTTCCTTGGAAAGGTCTTGGATGTTACTAGTTGTTATAAGATATATATTATTAGATGGTTTTTGTTGTTGTTTTCTTATTTTTTTGTTTTGAGTTTTGTGACACATCTGGTGCTGCTCTGGGCTTTTTAACACCTGACTCCAGGCTCAGGGATTACTCCTGGTGGGCTCAGGGGACCTTATGTAGTACCAGGGACTGAATCAGGATTAGCTGTGTGCAAGGTAATGCTCTACCCACTGTACCATCTTTCCAGCCCTTTATTAAACTTTCTGGTACCTTGCCAAGGAAGAAATAGGTAGTAGAGATGACATTCCATTTGTCAGCTTCCTGCACTCAGGTATGTGTAAATATCTGGAGGAAAAGGAAAGCAGTGGCTAGATATTTAAATAACATAAAATAGGACCTGACATGCGCATTAGGGCTTGGGTTTGCTTTATTAGAAGACAATTATTGATTTATGGCAATAATATAATCTTTCTTCCTCTTTTGTGATTTTTTTCTATGTTACAAATTTAAATCCATGTAAAACTTTTGTGAAGGTAACAAAAGCTAAGTTCTTTTTCTAACTTAATTTTATCAGGTTCTTCATTAGAAGCTGTAACCACCTGTGAACTCTGTAAAGAGAAGTTGCAGCTTAACCTGGAGGATTTTGATATTCATGAACTGCATAGAGCTCATGCAAATGAACAAGTTAGTATATTTTGCCTAATTTGGTAAGTGTCTGTTCTATGCTTAAAGGACAACTCTTGAAGAAAAGATTAAATGGTCAGAAAATCTGCATTAAAATATAGTGTAATAGTAATATTCCTAATATAGCTAATATTAGGAATTTCTATTAGTAAAGCCTGTACCCAAGTCACAGATGTTTTTATTATTATAAAATTCATCATGTGATTTCTAAGTAATCCTTTAGTATAAAGACTTAGGAAATTGGTACCACAGTAGGTATGCTATCCTTTCCTCCTCCACATAGCAAAGCACAAGCCTTATATGCATGAGAGCTGTGTTTGATTCCCAGAACTACACAAAAAAATATATCTACATCTACCCATTTTTTTGTTAGGAGGAAATGACTTTTCATTTAACTATACCTCCATTTCTTCCTGATTTCCTTCACTCTTCTATCCCTGACTCCAACTTTATGTTGAAAAGATAACCTGGTGAAACCTTCATTCTGAGTTCCATGGTCTTTGTATCCTTTTTTTGTTTGTATCTTTACAGTTATTTAATATGATGTTACTATTTCTCTGGCCATATTTTTTCAAATTATTTTTCTCAGAAAGTTTGGTAGGTATTGCTCACTCTTTCCTCTCCAAAATGGATTGGTTTACTTAAATTTCTGTTAAACTGAATCTTGATTTTATTGCTTAAATTTTATCATCAGGATGAACTATTTTTCTTCTTTTTCCACTTTTTTGTTGTTGTTTTGATGCCACACCTGGTGGATCTTAAAACTTACTCCTGGCTCTGCACCCAAGCATCACTTCTGGCAGGACCAGGGGACTGGAGAGATGGGGGGGGATCAAACCTAGGATCACTGTTTGCGAGGCAAGTGCCTTACCTTCTATACAGTCGCTTTACCTCCCCCAGCACACACTTTTTAAGAGGAATTTGAGGAGGTGAAGGAGAGAGAAGCCATCTAGTTTTGCTTACCATGTTTGTGATAAATACTAAGTGTTGTGGTGAGAGAATACATAACAAATTTCTTAAATGAAAGGGCCCACTCACCTTTTTTTTTTTTTTTTTTTTTTTTGCAGTTCAGTTAAGGACAGTTTTTTTGTTGCTGTTGCTACTTGGTTTGAGGCTTTAGTTTTGTTGAGGAAGTAGTTTACAACAGTTTCCATATTATTCATACTCTTGAGTGCTACTTCATAGGACTCAGTGTGTCTGTAATCCTTCACCCCTTTCCAAGATTCTCTTCTAACCCTTCCCTCACCCCTTCATGTAGCATGTAGCTCCACCTCCCTGTTGGCAATACTTTTAGGATTTGTTTAACTGGGAGCTATCTAATCTCTTGCGTTGTTGAAAAAAACATTTTAAAGTGAGTGTTTGGTAATAACATTTTCATTGTCGTTTGTCTATCAATTCTAAGACACTTTCCATAGCAATATTCTGGCCTCATTAAGCAGTTGTTTTCTCTTCATTTTAGGCAGCCACCAGTCTATTATAAATCTGTATTCTGTGTCTGGATTATTAATCTATTCTGGAATCGTGTACTATGTGATGTTTAAACATAACATTCTAAAAATGATTGAATTATAGAGATTATTTGAAAATACAGTTAAAGCCAATCTGCGTATAATTTATGATTTCCTAATATCTTAAGGAGTTCTTGTAGCTTATTGCTTAGATACAGGTTAAGAATCACTGATGTTGGGATGAATATATTAGGCAGTTGGTATGCCACAGGTGCTATGTAATATTAATTATTTTTCTGTTCTTCATGAGCCAGTTGTCCAGAAAGAATACAACTTACAGAAAGAAATTGACCTAAATCGTCAAGGAGTCTTGCTAGACAACTGAGCATTGGTATTTTTACAAAAAAGGTTCGGGGTAGGGGGTGGAGTTTGAAAAGGTGAAAAAAAAAATGCAAAAAAAAACCCTCTTTTTTTTGTCTTTTCAGAATGAGAGTAGGTTTCAAAGGATGGTTTTCTCCTTCCATTCTTCCTTCTCTAAGTACTCATTATGTCTCCTAAAGGTTGTTCTTTATCTTTTCGGCCAGGAATACTTTAAATCTTTCTCTTTAAAAGTGTTGAAAATAATAGAAAGTCAATTCTTCATTAAGCTTCTTGATTTTAACTTTTTCTGTAGATTTTAATGGCCTAATGCCTGCTTTCAGTTTGATTTATTTTACTTCCTCAGAATTCAGTGGTTTCATCTTTTACAACGTGAAATTATTTTTCCAATCTTTGGGGTATTTTAACACTGTTGGTGATATATATGCTTAGCTTAAAACAGCAGTAGTTTGGGGCTAGAGAGAGAACATAATGTGTAGAGGATTTGCCTTGCATGAAAGCCAATTCCAGTTTGACCCCCAGCACTGCCTGTCGTCCTCTAAGCACCTCCAGGAGTGATCTCTGACCACTGCTATTTTTTCCATCATCCTACCCACCACCCCCTTCCCGAAATAGTTTTAAGCTTAAAAATATATGCTCTTATCCACTACAGATTTCTTGTGAATCATATGTGGAATGGTCCTTTATTTTTTTTTTTTTTTGCATTTGCGGTTGCTTTTAAATTGTATAAGAAAGAATCTAAAAAATAATGAGTTGATCTAACAGAACAGGTTCTTATAGTAAAATATATTGATCTAATGGTAGGAGAAATGGTAATGGGGGGCCAGAACAATGGCGGATAAGGCGTTTGCTTTTAGCTGTCAAAGGTTCAACCCCAAGCCTATCCCAGAACACCACCAGGAGCGCAGAGCCAGGAGTAACCCCTGAACACAGGGCGTGACCCAAAAGCCAAAAAGAAAGTGGTAACATTCATAGTCATTTGTGAAATGAAATGAAATGAAATTGAGTCAGCACATTCATTCTTATGTAGAGTGATTTAAAACCCTTTTCTTTAAAAATCATTAAAGAAGATTACATGACAATAAAAAAGATAAATAAAATCATGAAGAATTGGTGGGTTTTGTGTTGTTTTTTTTTAATGCCTTGCATCATATCCCTGGCTAGGAATTGGGTATGAAAAAAATCTCCTCTAGTTGATCAGGATATTCAGACTGTCTCACCTACTAATTTTTCATTTTCCATATCTCTTTTGTTTGCTTCTCTACTGAAGGCTGAGTATGAGTTTATCAGCTCTGGTCTCTACCTAGTTGTGTTACTTCACTTGTGCGAGCAAAGCTTTTCTGATATGATGGGAAATACAAATGAACCAAGCACACGTGTTCGAGTAAGTAAGAATGGAATTGGGGAAAAGGGAGGGTATGATAGAGCAAGTGTTGGTTTTTAGAAGCAGATTGTTCTAGATGTTCATATTATATTTAGAAAGTTTTAAAATGTTTCTTAAAGATACTATAGATTTAATGAAAATTGCTGTCTTCCTTGTGTTATCTGTCAGGCAGCCAAATTTTCTCATAAAGCCATGCTAGTAGTAATTTTCTAGCTCTTAAAAATAATTAAAATATATTTCAATAAAAAGTAAACAAGATTGAAAAACAGCAACAACTCATTTTTATTGTAAGCTTAAAACCTGACATTGAACTGCAAAAATCACAAGTGTGGGAAATTAATGTCAATTTGTTATTATCTTATAAAAAAATAACTACTAATTTTTAAGCATCCATATTATAAATTCAGGGCTGGAGCGATAGCACAGCGGGCAGGGCGTTTGCCTTGCACTCGGCCAACCCGGGGACAGAGAGCCTGGCAAGCTACCAAGAGTACCCTGCCCACATGGCAGAACATGGCAAGCTCCCTGTGGCATATTAAATCTGCCAAAAGCAGTAACAAGTCTCACAATGGAGATGTTACTGGTGCCTGCTCGAGCAAACCCATGAACAACGGGAGGACAGTGCAATTGTAACTACTTGATATGAACTCTTTTCATTCTGTACACTGTTACCTTAGTATCACACTTAAGCAAGATACAAAGGTATTTACATTTAAATAGTACTATTTTTCTCAGTGTACAAGAACTTGGTTTTTGCCCTTTTGACACAGAAAGGTCTATGTCTAAATCTTGGAATTTGATCACAAATGTATGCTTGAATTGCAAATATTTTCACTTTATAGATAAAAATTTAATAATTGGCAGTGAGTTGTAATGTTTTTTCAAATAACCAATTTAGTGTTTTATATAACTTCTTGAAGAAGTAAAATTTGTATGTTGTGTAGATATTGTTTCTGAGGAGCCAGGTGTATAAAAAGAACTGTGTAAAACCTTCAGAATTTGGGCAGATATTTGACTCCTAGGTACTTTAGAAGTCATAGTACCTAAATTTAGTTAAGCCATAGAATGATTTCTAAATCTGATTTTATAAAATTGATCTGTCTATTCAGAATGAATGAGTCATTAAAAACTAATTCTATTCGATATCAACAAGTTAGTAGTAACTTGTTGAGTCATTTTTAGGGTTTGTTTAAGTATGGAAATAAATGTAACTCTTGCCTTTTTTTTTTTAATTGACACAAATTGAATTCATTTGGGTGCAAATCTCAAGTTTCAGTTTTTTTCCTCCATGAGCTTTTAAAGTGTTAACAATTATGCAAGAAGACATTACTATTAAATAGATTTGTTGCATCGCTCAAAGTTTCTACATGATTTTTACATTACTAATGATTATATACAACACTTCAATATGATATCCTTGAGCTTGTAGTTTCTATTGTGGGGTAAGAAAAGACCCATCTGTAAAGTCTTAAAATGGTGTTTGACTTCTTAAATAGAAATGAATCTCCTATACTGATTCTCTCCTTAGATCCATTTGCAACATTTAAACTACTGTATTTCTTTCTGCATTGTTTCTAGTTTATTAACCTTGCAAGAACTCTTCAGGCACATATGGAAGATCTCGAAAGTAGGTGGAATTTTCCCTCCCCAGACTTGTTGACTTTATTTTTGCAAATTAAACCCACAGAACAAAAACTTAGTGTATACTTCTTAACCACTCCTCAAGAAAGATAAAGGCTTTATAGAATTAATAATACCAAAATATTGGTGTGGGAATTAATGGGTTTCGCAGCTGACATTGGTGTTTATAAAGCATATTTTTAAATTTATACTAACTCTGAGGTTAACCCCTTCACTTTTATTTTAAATAAAATTTTTAAGACCCTAATTTTAACACTTTTTGTCATGTTTTAATTATACAAATAAATTCATCCGTGTTTTGTTTTTTATTTTTTCTTTGTTAATATAAAATTTTAATTTCTCAGCTTAGCTAAATAAGATCATAAAAGATTTCCTCCTAGGCTTATTGTGTCCATTTTAAGGAAAATAGGGCAGAAGGATCCTACTAATTGTGAGTTCTTCTGCTTGAATCCCATGTAAAGCTACTAATGCCCAACTTTTCACAGGCATCTGCAGAGCCTCACAGGGTATTAAAATCTCTGGGGTGCTTCATAGCAAATGGGCACAGATTATGTTCGCTCTGAAACAGTTTCTAGGAATTTAAGATTATCCCACACACTGATTTTCACCCAAAAGTAACTTTATTTTCCCCATGATCAAATTCCTTTACACTTTCAAAGTGTTTTTTTAATATGTGCACTCCAATTGATTTCCCTGTTTACTCATCTCCAAAATACACTTGAAATTGTTTTAATTATGCGGATAACAAATTTATCTTTTGAGAAATCTCTGCATCATTTAAGTTTGAGAAGGATTTAATCATCCCATAAGAAACCCTCAATTCATTGGATATTTTATAATGGAATTTTTTTATACTATGACTACTACTCTTAATTCTTAAAAGGCTAAATAATGTATTTCATAATTTTTGTGCTTGCAAAGTGATACATGAAGGAATCCTGGTATATTAAGTAAGAATTCTCTGTGACTTCTTAGTTCAAATGCTTTATGTTGAAAATAAAAAGATTTCCCTCCCTTTTTTTATAAATTGTATTTGTACTTTTTCAGTGCACTTGTAGTACATTATTTTAGTGTTCTTTTTTCCAAGATTGCTTATTTTTTTAAAACTGACATTTGGATTTAAAACTAAGTTTCCTCAACATAGTGTTTGCTTAAATGTGAGGGGAAAAGTGGAAATAATTTATGCTCAAACTCAGCTGAGAATAAAAGATAAAAAAAAAGTTAATTTCTAAGCGCCAAAGGTTGTGTATTCTGAAAATTGACTCAAACTATCTTCTGTGGATTTTATAAAGAAAAAAATACTGGTGTCTTTCTGAAAAGCCATTTTACTTTTCAGTCTGATTCTCTCCCCCCGCCCCGATAAAGAAGAAAAGTTAACCATAATTAATATATTCATGGGCTAAGTGCATGCTAAATATCATTTGTTAAAAATAAATCTATAAGAATTTGACAAGATGAAGACTGATATGGAAGCAAGTTTTTATGTTTTTTGTGCTAGCATACTATTATTTTTTATTCTGTTGTGTGCTCTTAAAAGTAAACTAAAATCTTGCTACTTTTGATGATGGAGAGATGTTTGTTTTCTGTGAACTTTTCGTTCAACACAGAGCAAGTTTACAGAAACTTAGTTCTATACTTATTATGTCCCTCCCGAAACAAGTGATGCAGGATGTTTGTATTAAACTTTTGAGCTACTAATGACTAAAATAAATTGTGGTCAGAAATGTTAGGAAAATGTTTCTGACAATTGTGGAGGTAAAGAAATAACCTCAGCAAGAAGTTTTTAATAGATCCAGTTATTTTTAACTTAGGCTGTGTCTATATAAAGTATTTTTTTAATTAAGTGGATCTTTTTCTTGACATTTATAGACATAGCTTTGATGTAAAATGCAAGAATACCCATAACCTATTCTATGTACATTTTTTTTCATTCTCATCGGATGCATCAAACATGCAGCGGTAATAAGCCAGATTCTACTCAGGTGTGTGAGAGCACTTGCCTTAAGTTCACTTTTCTCTGGTACTGGTACACTTTCCTAAGTACACTCTCTCTAGTGTGTATGTCATTAGCTCCTGTGAACACGAGTTGATCTTGGAAACTTTTTAGAAGATGTTCTTGAATCACATTTTTAAACATTTTCATTTTTATAAAAACTAACATAAAAAATGTGGGGGGTGGAGGCATTTTATATGGACATCACCCATAGTCAAACCACCCTAACTGTCATGAAAACCATTTTGATCAAACTATACTAAATTGGGGTTTTGTTTTGCAAGTCATTGCTGTTCTTTCTGGCTTCATATGTATACTTCAATTCCCATCCCTTCTAAAGTCATTCTTGATTATCCTGTTTTCTTTCAACAGCTTCAGAGGATGACTCCGAAGAAGATGGAGATCATAACAGAACATTTGATATTGCCTAACTTCATAAAAGACAAATGGATGATCTGTGAACAAGTGTTTATTAAAACTGGCAATTAAGTATGAGTTAATTTTGTGGGGAATGCCATTTGAATACATGACTATAATGAATATACATATAAATGTATATTCATTCGCACGTGTTGCTGAATAAAAATTCTTCTACTGGACCTTTTAACATGGCCAGTGAATCTAAAGTTTATAAACTGGTGATCTATAAAGTATTTTTCTTTTAGGTGAGTAGGAGAGGTGTTGCTTTTGTTTTAAATAGCTAAGCAATGCCAACACCCTTTTTTGTGTTCTGATTACTGTAGTCATATTTATGAAAAAAGTTCGTGTTTTAGTCTCTTGCTAGTGAAAAAGGTGGGGCAAAATATGCTTTTGAAATAAAATGCCAAATGGCACCCAATTTCTTTTCTTTTTTAAATGCCTTAAGTTGCAGTCTCATTTTCATAATCATTTCTCTCCAGTGTTTAAAAGGGGTAGGGGTGGGGGTTTGTGATGAGCATTAGGTTTCCAAATTTAATTTGAATTCTAAATTCACTTAGCAATAAAATCTACTTTTTAGATAAAGTATATAAAATATAAATGATGGATAATTTTTTATTGATTTGCAAAATGCAAGTTATATTTGATAGGCCATAGTATGTAGATATTCCTCTTAGGAATATTACAGCTGTAAATTTTATCAGAATTGTCAGTCAAGTGCTATTTGGTTAAAAAAAATTACTGCGATCTCAAGTTAAAGGAATATTTTTAAATCCCACATACAAAGTTTAAAAAAGAAACACTGGTTTTCAATGTGTTTTTTAGTGTTGTCTCTTCTTTATAGATAAATATTATATAAATAATCTATTTGGATCTTGGTCTTTTCTAAGTTCCTTGAAACTATTCCTTGGTAATTGTGAGCTTTTATTTGATGACTCTGTACTTTTCATTATCTTTGAAGAACAGATGAGTGTTAACCTGTTCAACATGAATAGATCTATATTGTGGTCATGAGTTGTGTATTCTTCCATAACTGTATTTTCTGTCAACTCATAAATACACTTTATAAAGCACCTTCAGGTGGTTTCTGATTAAATAAAGTCTTCATGTCATGGCAACAAACTTTTTCAGAACTGAATCAAAACCGTGTAATTTCTCAAATGTAAGTCAACAGTTTGCCCACACTTAAGTCAGTTTGTTGGTTTTATGTAAAACATTGGCTTTAAATAAAGTGCATACTGATTGATTTACTTTTAAGGTTTGAAATGTTTCCTTTTATTATATTGGTGCTGAAAGAATTCCAATTATAAATCAAGAATTTTATTTCATGCAAAAATGTTTGCATCATTTATTCACTTTTTGCCTGTTAATTATCTTATTTAAGCAAAAAATATAAAATTTGAAGATGCCAGTTTCTCTTTTCTGAGTTCTTAGGGCCTTTGAAATGAAACATTTATATCTTTAATTTGTATCTTAATTTAGAACAGATTTATTGTTTTCTTCCTAACAGTTAAATATATGTGGTAGACAGTTTTTTGGCTTGTACATAATTTATATTTAGTATAACTTGAACACAAATGACATGCAAAATGGCTTGAAGATACTTCGTACTGTTCAGTGTTTTAGTGATTAGATTCTTAGCTTCTGTAAATGTGGATTTGGAAAAATGTCTGTCACTATTTTATAGGGTATTTTCTGTCGTTGGTTATTGAAACTAAAGGAAGACACTATGCGTTACTAACTACAAAGAATATAAAGGTAAAGGCCCTCCCGTTGATCATCGAATTGCTCGAGCTGGCCTAGTAACGTCTCCATTGGAGACTTTGTATAAATTCCTAAAAAAAAGCCAGTTAAAAGTAATGCTAAAAGTAATGCTAGTCTCTCAAGTATAGAAGTATAAAACACTTGTGTTATACCTATATATAAAATACTGTGACAAAATTGATTAGGATTTACTGCCATATACATCTAAATACTCCTAAAATTTGTCTCTTGACATCCTTATTTGTGTTTCCTGGCACATTAGTAAAATTGGGGTTATTTTTTATAAATACATTCTCTGACTCTTTCTTTGCATATATTTAATTGTATTGATTATTTTGGTATCCATTGCATTTTCTGATTGTTCATAGTCGTGAGTTTTATAAAACATGTTTTCCTTTTTTCATTAAACTATTTTCAGTTCCCAAACTTATTTTAACGGTTATGTATTCTCTTTAATAATGACAAAAAAGTACTGCTACTCTCAAAACTAAAGAATTGTCATTATTTGCTATAATTGAGATGCTAAAGAAATTTCTACATTCTGATATATAGGATAGCATGTTCGTATTTCGTTTATACTATTAAATACAGATTTGAATGAATTAAGTTGTCTCTGACCACCAAATAGTTTTATTGATGTTCTGCTCTATAAAAATCTATGATTTAATACTTTATTGCAAGGAACCTTTATTTAACTTGAGGATATCTACATGTTTCCTACAAATACCACCACTGAAAGTAAACATGTTCCCATGTGGTATGAACTGATAGAAAACTGAAATTTTTTTCTATGTTCAAATAATCTTCTATAGCATACCGTTAGAACCATCTATTTTCAGATAAGAGGAACAACTTGTAGTTCAGATAGACCTGTTTTGATTTTTTTGTTTGTTTCTAATGTAGTAGTATTGCTATTTATTCAGCCATTGATTAAGCTGATTGAATTGGGCATGAACTCCACATTTTATTCAGAAAGTTAGTTTTATTATTTTTAATCACCGTGAGATCGTTACAAAGCTTTCCTGTTCAGTGATCAATCACCCAGCCCTCCGCCAGTGCACATCTCCTACCACCAAGAACCCCAATATTCCCCCATCTCACCCTTCCCCCTGACTCTGGTAGATAATCTCCCCCATACTCTCTTGTATTGCTTGTTATGAAGAGCATAAGATGTCACACACGAGCAGCCGTGTGCTCCTAGAACTTCAAAATCCCATAAAATTAGGGTCTAGCGAGCTACTCGGTTGGGAGATTCTTTTGTGTGTATCTGGATCATGGCCGCTAAGGAGCTTAAGTAGCAGCTTGAGGCAGTTTGTGAGCATGACCTCCAGGGTCCCATGGGGGTGGCGATGAGGAGGACTGGCCCATCCCTATCCCTTGAGGCCTGGAGTTTGCCATCACTGAACCTGCATACCTGCTTTTCTCATTGGGTTCTGGAAGTTGGCTGCCGCTGGGGTTTATAGGGAGCAGGTGGGGGAACAACACCCGCCTCCACAGATCTTTTTGATATGATAAGCCTTTCTGAAATGAACATACTGATTCTACAGCAGTATTTTCGAAGAGTATGATATTGCCACCTGGCAACAGTGAGATGATAGGTGGGATACTTTCTGTTTGTTCTCATAGTAAATTTCTGGAGGGGAGTTAGGGAGGCACAGTAACTTTTCAACCTTTAAAACCCCAGATATTGGACATTTAGAGGTTTGTGACGGTTTGAAAGAGATGAGGGGCTGGAGCAATAGCACAGCAGGTAGCGCGTCTGCCTTGTACGTGGCCTACCCCGGTTCGATTCCCAGCATCCCATATGGTCCTTCGAGCACCGCCAAGAGTAATTCCTGAGTGAAGAGCCGGGAGTAACCCTTGTGCATCGCCGGGTTGACCCAAAAAGCAAAAAAAAATTTTAAAAATTAGAGATGATTAGTCTTAGCTCCTAAAAAACTACCAAGATTAAAATAAGAAAAACATAAAGGAACTGTAGTCTCATCTTCACTCCTAACTCTCATCTTTCAATAATATTTATCACTATACAAATAAAAAATGAAGTTCTTATGGCACACAATAGTTTGTTAATCATTTTTCTTAAATACCTTGTATACTGGAAAAGAGGGTTTTGTGCTTACTAGCACAAAACAAATTTGTTGCTGTTTTGCAACTTGCTTCTGGTCCATAAGGCATTTTGAAGATGAAAATCATCAGTATCATTCTCAGATTTATATCACTCTGCTTTCAGCATCTGTTTTGGGATTTCATCAGGTACTGCTAGTAAATGCACAAGCTGGTAAAAGATCTGGTAACATTTTATTAGTAGTACTAATAACACTGGGCTGGAGCAATAGCACAGCTGGTAGGGCGTTTGCCTTGCAAGTGGCCGACCTGGGTTCAATTCCTTTATCCCTCTCGGAGAGCTCAGTAAGCTACAGAGTATCCCGCCCGCATGGCAGAGCCTGGCAAGCTCCCCAAGATGTATCAATTGCCAAAAACAGTAACAAGTCTCACAATGGATATGTTACTGGTGCCCATTGGAGCAAATCTATGACCAACAGGAAGACAGCACTACAGTGCTACAAATAACACTTATCAGTATTACTAAAACTTGCTCTTTCACTGTGGGCTATGTATAGTCTTCCAGTTGTCACTTGCTGTTACATCTCAGCAATGCCCTTTTGGCCTTGGAGATCCTTTCAGGGGTCAGAAATGTTTTTGATTCCTGTCTTTGCTGAGTTCTCTAGCACTAAAAGGGCTGGCCTAGTTGGCCTAGTGTTAGGAGTAGTTCCAATTTGTGCCACTCCCCTTCAGAAACAAGAGTGACATTGATTGGGATTTTCTTGATTCATACTGGCCATGACCAAAGAAAGTGTCATATATTGGAACTTTGTTGCTTTTGGTCAAATTTGAGAGGATTCTCTCCACATATGATAAATGATAGGATGTGGATTAGGATAGAACTGCTTAAACTTGAGTGCTTCTAACCCCCTTTTTTTCAGAAACGTTTTCTTCAGCCCCAGGTATATAATAGTTACATCATTTACTGATAATTATGAATTTAACAATTTTTTGTTGTGGGGGAGATTACGAGCATAGTTTGAGAAACTAGAAGGTTAAAAGTAAATTTTTTAAAAGTGTTCCTCTTCCAAAATGTAGTAAATAGGATTTATGTCAAGTCCATAATATTGCAGTGCTGGAAATTAAACCCACTCATGCAGGCAAGTGCACTATCATTGACTACACCCCACCATCTCAAAATGTACAATGTGTTCTGACATCTTTGAACATCATTGCTGTTTTACATAGTTTTTGCTAAAAGACACTAGTTTTTATTGTGCTGAATGATAACTTACCATTGTTTGAGAAGCATGAGATATAGTAACAGCTGTGGATGCTATGAAAGAAAAATCTAAAAATTACACAGTGATGCAAAGTGTTTCATTACAAGGCTCCATACCTTTTCTGGTACAGTTTTGAATTTTTGGTTTCTAAGACTCCAGTTATTTGCGATAGGACCAAATTTTGTTGTCCAAAAAAGAGTTCTGAAAGTAATAAAATTGTATGAATTCCGTGGGGTATGTTATTTAAATCTGTAAAATTTTCTATATCTAGTAATGAAGATAAAACTGCCAGAGTAACCCAGCATAAGTGTATGATAAAATATATAGGGATGTGCATAGCAAAGCATAATGTGCTCTGCCACTGAGCACATCATAGTTTAAAAAGCCTTATGCCTTATATTAGGTTTGTGTATATTATTACCAGTCTCATGAAATTTGGAGGAATATTTTTCAGTTCAATTTTAAAATTGTTAAGAAATCAGAATTGCCCTTTTTACAATATGTATTCAATCAATTGCATGTTAAATATTTTATCAGTACTGTCACTTTTGAAATGTTTTTTTATTTTTATGGCAGCCGAAGGTGGTCATTGAAACTTTAAAGACCCTAATAGCTTCATCTGTATACATTTTTCATTTATATTTTTATCTCGGGCCAGAGCGATAGCATAGTGGGTAGGGCGTTTGCCTTGCACGCAGCCGACCCGGGTTCGATTCCTCCGCCCCTCTCAGAGAACCCGACAAGCTACTGAGAGTATTCCTCCTGCACAGCAAAGCCTGGCAAGCTAGCCGTGACATATTCGATATGCCAAAAACAGTAAAAAGTCTCACAGTGGAGATGTTACTGGTGCCCGCTCCAGCAAATCGATGGAACAAAGGGAGGACAGTGCTACAGTTAATAAATGGGCAATATTAGACCATTAGGTAGAGTTTTTTCAGCTCACAAGATAATTCAATTAAGGAATAAAATAAAATGCAAGTAAAGTAAGACAAGTAGAATAGGTTTTATTTCCGTTTGATTTAAGCTTCAAGTGAAGAATTGGGGGAAATGGTTAAAACAAATACATTTTTTCTGTTAGAGTTTTGTATGAAGCTAAAGGGTTCTGTTGCAATGTTACCAAGATAAGTATACATAAGAGCTGTAATTCTCAGTTTTTATAAAATCTTGCTTGGGAAACACTCATGATTTCCAAAGTCTCAGTCAAGTTGAACAGAATACTCATTTTCCTCTGCAATTACTAAAACACAGTCATCATTATAAGGTGATTGGGGTACAGAAGAAAAAACTGTGGTGAAGCCGGAATCCAAATTCCTTTTGTACAGGAACCAAATAACTGCTCCCAGAACTGTCAAAATTACTGTGCTAGCAATCACCAAAGCTGATATTAAAATATGGTTATCTGAAAAAAAAAAAGACAAAAATAATGCAAAATTAGGGTATGCCAGTTTCAAGGATTACAGTTTGGAAAGAACGTGCATATTTTAATCACAAAAGAGTTTCAAAAATTTCTTGATATGATGATGAGAAATAGACTTTTGGGGGTTAGGGAGGCACACACCTAATTGTGCTCAGAACTTACTCCTGGCTCTACATGCAGGGATCACTCAATGAGCCGGGGGTTGGAACATATAAGGTACTAGGGATTGAACCCAGTTGTCCACATGCAAGACAAGTGCTCTTACTCGATATACTATCACTCTGGCCCCAAGAAATAGATTACACCATTATTAACTATTAAGACATTTTTTAGCTCAAAAGGTTGCTGTATTTTAATTTTAAAATTTACAGTTAAATAAAGGCCCTCCCGTTGATCGTCGATTTGCTCGAGCGGGCCCAGTAACGTCTCCATTGGAGACTTTGTTGTTACTGTGTTTGGCATATCGAATACTCTCGGTAGCTTGCCGGGCTCTCCGAGAGGGGCGGAGAAATCGAACTCAGGTCAGCCATGTTGGCCGCTTGCAAGGCAAACGCCCTACCCGCTGTGCTATCGCTTAATTAATGGCTGAATAAATGGTACTACGTCGGGCTGGAGCGACAGCACAGCGGGTAGGACGTTTGCTTTGCATGCAGCCAACATGGCCGAACAGAGTTCGATTCCTCTGCCCCTCTCAGCCCCGCAAGTTACCAAGAGTATCTCGCCCGCGTGGCAAAACCTGGCAAGCTACCTGTGACGTATTCAATATGCCAAACACAGTAACAAGTTTCACAATGTTACTGGGCCCGCTCAAGCAAATCGATGAACAACAGGACAGTGACAGTGACTCTTACATTTAAAAAAAAAAAGCTTACAATTATAGTCATGCTTGAGATTGGTAGGGCTTAAGGGTGTGGAGCTTAGTGTTTGCGTGTGGGAGCTTTTTATGCTGAGAAGATGGCTCAAATTGCTGGAGCATATGCTATGAGAGTACGAGGCCTAGGTCTGATCCCTGGCATGTGCTGTCCCCTAACCACCAAACCAGAAGTAGCTCTGGAAAGTTGCCAGGTGTGGCTGGCTCAATAACAAAAGATCCTAAAATGAAAATTACCTTCACCTTAGAGGGTACAGCACAATACTATTAGTCTTCTCTGATATTTCTTCTATTGCTTAAGACTTCAAATTTGTATCTATTCTGTTTTAAGAATAATGGCATTTAGGGACTATAGAGAGAGGGAGTACAGGAGGTAAGGAGCATGTCTTGCATAGTGCCAACCCTGGTTTGAAGCCAGAGTTCCTACAAGCACTACTAAGCACCACACAGGTTCCTACAAGCAGTACTAAGGGTCACACCTGAGCAAAGTGGCCATACCCTCTCCTGCCAGACTAAGTGAAATAGCTTTTAGAAATGTATTTAGATACTTGTTATGTTGATGAGGTCTAATCTGCTTATGGCAACTGCTTATGTTTCACTAAAATGGGGCAGTAGATTCCTAAAGCATCACATAACCTTTCAATCTATTCAAAAGCTTTGTAACTATAAGAAATCAATAAGTGGAGGAAAATTACTCAGATTTAGAAGAAGAGAAAACTGCTTTCGAGAAGATATTTGTATTTCACAACAAAATACCCAAAAGTATATGAAAAAAAATCCAAAACTCTTCACCTTAAATATGTATTGTTGCATTAAGACTATTTGAATGCCAGAGAAATTAAGGCTCCTGCATATCATGCAGCTGTGGCTGCCACAACCCTGGTTCAGATCCCAGCACTGTAGTCACAGCACCACCAGGAGTAGTAGTCCCTGAGCATTGATAGTACAGCCCCTCTCCCCAAAGAAAACATTTGAATACTGAAACTTTTATAACTGACACTTTGGACTTGTGCTTGTTAGGGTGAGACCTGGATAATTTAAGGCTTGGCAGAAGGTATAAAGTTGTTAGGGGTCAGGCCATGCAGACTGCACACTTTGCATTCAGTTCAAGGTTCATTCCCCAGCCACCCCTACCACTACCCCTATCCATAAGTACTCAAACACTTCAGGAAGTGGGCCAAAAAGGAAACACAAATATGTGAAGCCCTGGGTTTCACATCTGTCACCTCAGAAAAATAGGGCAGGCAAGAGTTATTGACATATTTTCTTTGAAGATTGTGGATCAGATGCTGTGCTGGGATCAAACCCAGATTGCTGCATGGGAGGCAAGCAGCTTGCTAGCTGTATTATCTCTCTAGCTCTGCCAGGCCTCTTTCAAAGACTCAACAGGCAGCGAGGAAATACTGCAGTAGCATAATCCTAAAATACATGAAATTATATATTGGTTGTAGCTTGATAAGATGAAGACCTATAATAAGATTATTAAGCCAAGAACTTTGTAAACAGTTCTACTGAGATTCTTTCATACTTGTTTTATTGAGTGGGATAAAGCCCATTTGTAGTACAGCGCACCCCCCACCCCATTTTCCTGTTCTTTTGTTTTGTAGCCATACCCCCAAACCAGAACTACTTTAGGCTCAGTGGGGTTTTGCTCCCAAACCTGGGCCTGCTGCCTGGAAACCATTCAGCCCATTTAGCTGTCTTTCCAGCCCAGTGTACCCTAACTGTACCAATGTGAACAAAATGATTGCATCTATTAGTAATTGTAGAGTATATACTCATAATTAGTATTATCAACTTTAGTGACTATATGATTATACTTCAACAAAAACATACAAGTTTTAGTCAGAAAAAAACTTGGTAGAGGATGTCAAGGTATAACCACACTCTTAACAGTAAACAGTATCCCAATAACCTAACAATTTGGGGCATTAGTGCACAGTCCATATGTATGCCTCTTGTATGTTATTTTCTGCAAGTGACTTTGTGACATGGCTGCCTCTGGTGCATTAGGTTGGCTAACAATGAAACGTAAAAGAAAACTAGCCCCAAAGCAATTACGAGTGGTTTATTACAGACTTTATTTCTGAGGGAAAGGATAGTTGTACATTAAAATGTTTATCTACTTATTAGAGAAACATGTGTTGTTCTCTTCACTGAGTAATTGGATTACCATCTAGTTCCTAGTTTGTTTTTTTATTTGGAGGCCATCCTCACTGTAGGGGTATTTGGGGCAGGGTCACCAAAGCTATACCAGTGGTACTCGGAGCCATGTGATGCCAGGGATCTCATTGGCTTCAAGCACTCTAATCATGTACATTACCAGGTTTGATGCCCTAGCATCATATTAGTTCCCTCATCACTGCCAGTTGTAATACTCTCTCCCCCCCATCCACACCTCTCCCTCCACCCCCAGCAGACACACACACACACACACACACAAATCACCACCACCACCAAGTGTGTAGCTCAAAAACAAAGTTGAAACGTATATAACAATATTGAAAAGGCCAACACTGCCCTGTCATTCCTCAATCAAATGTCACTAGTACTCCATAATGAATTGTAGAAATAGACAGATTTAAAAAAAAATTAAACAGGGTGAGGGTTCAACACCAGGCAGTGCTTAGGGCTTACTCCTGGCTCCATGTTCAGAGATAACTCCTGGAGGTGCTTAGGGGACCAGATGTGATGCTGGGGATCAAACTGGGTTGGCCATATGCAAGGCAAATGCCTTATTCCTTTACATTCTGCAGCCCCATGTTCAATGCTTCATCTGCTGCCACTGAACTATTAGCCACCTATTCTTAAGAGTGTCTCACTTGGCCTCAAAGACATTGTTGTCTCCTGCCTCCACTCCCCACTAACCACGTTTTTCCCAGACTGTTCCTTTCTAATCAAATTTGTGGACTCAAAACTTGATGTCTTTAGGTTTAAATCCTTTTAAATTTTTTTTTTTTGCTTTTTTATGGGGGGATGTGGGGTATGCACCCTGCGATGCACAGGGGTCACTCCTGGCTCTGCACTCAGAAATTACTTCTGGAGGTGCTTGGGTGACCATATGGAACTCTGGGGATTGAACCCAGTTTGCAAGGCAAACGCCCTACCCGCTATACTATAGCTTCAGCCCCTAAAAATTGTATTATGGTTTAGATCACATGGTTACATTACAGCAACATCAACGTTTATGATACTGATGTACAGTGACTACATCCCGCCATAACTCGAGTGTCCAAAAACCTCTGCCGCTGTCCCTCTGTCACCTTTATACAGAAGTGTGTATGTAGTTTATGTTCTCTTTGCTCTAGTCTCAAATTCGTTTTTCAAATTCCTTGAGTTAGAACACCAATGACCACTGCTGTGTTAGCCGATCCAAGAATTCTGCTGGACTCTACATTCATTAATCAGGACTACATATTATCTTTTTAACATTTTCCCTGTCTGATGACGACTCTTTCTGCCACCTCCATACCTAATGCTATCTTTCACTACTCACCAATAACACAAACTATATAATCCATCTTCAACACGCAAAGACCTTGGGGCCAGAGCAATAGAACAGGTAAGGCACTTGCCTTTCATGCAGCTGACCCAGGTTTGATCCCTGGCACTACAATGGTCCCTAGAGCCCCACAAGGATTAAGCCCTGATTAAGCACTGCCATGTGTTGCCCAGAAAAACACAAATTTTAAAAAGATCTAAATTTATGTTGAACCATCACAGTAAAATAATCTGCTGACTGAGTGCCAAATTTGTATATAACAGCTCCCACCCAAATTTTATTGGGAGTAGGGTCCACCCCTGGCAGTTCTCAGGGCTTACTCCTAGCTCTGCAATCAGGGAATGACTCCGGTCAACTGTGTGCACAGCAAGATCCCTGCCCACTCTAAGATTCCTTAAGCTTAAGCTCCCAGATTGTTATAATCTCTTTTTATATGTGAAGAAACAAAGAAGCTTTAAGTGACATGTTCTAATAGGGGAATGACCTTCACAATTGAGCCTGGGAGAGGTATAAGAGGAAGAGGAGATGGGGCATTTGGGGAGGGAGACAGGTGCACTGATAATTGATGTGAGGATGTGATATTTGAATTATGTCCATGAGAAACCATTATTAATAGTATTGTAAATCAAAATTTTTTTAATTGTGTTCTTTTATGTGTCAGCTAAAATTTAAACTATTCACTGATTATGCTTACCTATCTTTTTCCTACCTATGTATACATATAAATATATCATAGATATGTCTATATATATCATATATAAATCATAGAGGGAAATATATATATATATGTCTCTCGGAGACCCCAGCAAGCTACCGAGAGTATCCTGCCTGCACAGCAGAGCCTGGCAAGCTACCAGTAGCGTATTTGTTATGCCAAAAACAGTAACAATAATGAGTCTCATTCCCCTGACCCTGAAAGAGCCCCCAATACAACAGCATTGGAAAAGACGAGTATGGAGAGGCTGCTAAAATCTCAGGACTGGGACAATTGGAGATGTTACTGGAGCCCACTCAAGTAAATCGATGAACAATGGGATGACAGTGATACAGTGAATATATATATATATATATATATATTCTAATTTATTTCCTCTTTCAAGCCATTGTTGAGCCCAGTTTGGGCTTATTTCCTCTTTCCTGAATATCTACTATACCATATACATCCTATCATAGTCCCTTTAATTTTCTTGACACCTTATTTTCTTAACTCTGGAATCTTCTAAACTACACTTATCTGAAATGGAACTCACTGTTTTCCAAGACTCCTACTCCACTTTGTTTTTAAGGGAAGCAAGCATCTTACTCACAGTACTATCTGGCCCTAAAGACGAACTTTTCTTTTAAAAATACCATTTCCCTCAAATGGAAAAAAATCCCCTATTCATGGATCGGGAGAATTAACATTGTCAAAATGGCAATACTTCCCAAAACACTGTACAAATTCAATGTGATCCCTATTAGAATACCCATGACATTCTTCAAAGAAATGGAGCAGACACTCCTGAAATTTATATGGAACAATAAGCCCCCACGAATAGCTAAAGCAATTCTTGGGAAAAAGAAAATGGGAGGAATCAACCTCCCTAACTTCAAACTCTACTACAAAGCAGTAATAATTAAAGTAGCATGGTACTGGAACAAAGGCAGAGCTGTAGACCAATGGAACAGGGTTGAATATACTGACATCTCCCCACAAGCATACGAGCATCTAATCTTCGATAAGGGGGCAAGAAAAGTGAAGTGGAGCAGGGAAAGCCTCTTTAACAAATTGTGCTGGCAAAACTGGATGGCTACATGCGAAAAAGTGGGCTCAGATCTCTGCCTAACACCATGTACAAAAGTAAGATCAAAGTGGATTAAAGACCTCAACATCAGACCGGAATCCATAAGGTACATTGAGGAAAAAGTTGGCAAAACCTTCCATGACATAGAAGCTATGGTGTTTTCAAAGATGTCACACCGCTGGCCAAGCAAGTGAAAACAGAGACAGACAAATGGGACTATCTTAAACTAAGAAGCTTCTGCACCTCAAAAGAAACAGTGACCAAAATACAAAGACAGTCTACAGAATGGGAAAGGATATTCGCCAAATACACATCCGACAAAGGGTTGATACCAAGGATATACAAAGTACTGGTTGAACACCACAAGAAGAAAACATCCAACCCCATCAGAAAATGGGGTGAAAAAATGAACAGAAACTTTCTCAAAAAAGAAATCCGAAAGGCTAAAAGGCACAAGAGAAAATACTCCACATCATTAATTATCAGGGAGATGCAGATCAAAACCACAATGAGATATCATTTCACACCACAGAGACTGGCCCATATCCACAAGAACAAAAGCAACCAGTGCTGGCGCGGATGTGTTGAGAAAGGGACACTCCTTCACTGTTGGTGGGAATGCCGACTGGTTCAGCCCTTTTGGAAAACAGTATGGATGATTCTCAAAAAATTAGAAATTGAGCTCCCATTTGATCCAGCAATACCACTCCTGGGAATATATTTCAGAGAGGCAAAAAAGCATAGTTGAAGTGATATCTGCAATTGTTTGATCATTGCAACACTCTTTACAATAGCCAGAATCTGGAAAAAACTTGAGTGCCCAAGAACAGATGACTGGTCAAAGGAACTTTGGTACATTTACACAATAGAGTACTATGTAGCTGTTAGAAAAGAGGAAGTCATGAAATTTACATACAAGTGGTACTACATGGAAAGTATCATGTTAAGCGAAATGACTCAGAAAGAAAGGGATAGACATAGATTGCATTCATCTGGGGAACATAAAGTAACAAAATAGGAGACTAACACCCAAGAATGGCTGAGTTTAGTGCCAGGAATTTTACTCCATGGCTTGGAGGCCAACCACACATGCTAGGGGAAAAGGGAGCTCAGATGGAGAAGGGAACATCAAATAAAGGTGTTGGGAGGATCCTCCCAGGATGGGAGAAGCATGCTGAAAGTAGACTATAGACCAAACATGATTGTCACCCATTGCCTCTTTTGCAAACCACAACACCCAATAAGAGAAAGAGAGAGAGAGAGAGAGAGAGAGAGAGAGAGAGAGAGAGAGAGAGAGAGAGAGAGAGAGAGAACAAAAGGGAATGCCCTGCCACAGAGGCAGGGTGGGATGGGGGGGATGGGCGGTGGGAGGGATACTGGGATCCGTGGTGGTGGGAAATGGGCACTGGTGGAGGGATGGGTATTTGATCATTGTATAATTGAAACCCAAGCACAAAAATTTGTAAGTCTGCAACTGTACCTCTTGATGTCTCACTAATAAAAATTTTTAAAAAATACCATTTCCCTCAACAAAAACATGAGAAAATAGAATTTGGAGGTTTAAAAATTTCATAAGTTACAATTATTTAAATATTTAATTAAATTACAAGATCTGCTACATTCTTATAAAAATTGTTCTAGGGCCAGAGATGTGATTCAAAAGGTGAATCATATGCCTCACATATGCAAATTCTCAGGCTCTACCCCCTCATACTGCACTACCAACTGCTGAGGTATTACCCTTCTGGACTCTTAATCATGCTTACAAGTCCCCACAATAGCAAAAAAAATTCTACATTATATAACTGACTTTGTTTGGGAATAGGGGTGCATACCAGTGGTGCTTGGGGCTTACGCCTGGCTCAGTACTCAGGGATCACTCACTCCTGGTGGTTCCTGGGGGACCATATATGCTGCTGGGGATCAAACTAGGTGAGCCACATACAAGATAGCACTTTCTGTACTATCTCTCTGGCTATAGAATTGGCTTTTTACAGGACTCCTTAGTAATGTTTTAATATGCTTAGAATATTAGCATATGCTTGTATTTGGAAAAAAAGTATGATCATTTACTTACCTGATAAGTACTTTGCTTCGTAAGGGACTAAAATACAAAAGAAAATTAATATTTAAGTATGTTCTTTAAGGTACTTAAATTCAAAGTAATTTAAAATAAACCCTTTAATAACTTTATATTATGTTTCTATTGCGTGGCCAATTGTGCTATCTAGTTTAAAGAAATGGCAAACTTCATTAGCTTAATGTGTAGTAAAATAGGAATTCAAGTAAAAGACAAAGGAAAACAGGTTTTGGTTGGCAAGTCAGTAAATAATATAAAATTATACAAATGTGACTTACCTTGTTAGTATAGATTGTTCAAGTATCTAATAATTGAAATTTATACTTTAATTAAAATTTTGGTTTAATATAATGTCACCCTAGGGCACAATACATGAAAACTGCTTTTTAAAAACCAAATAAATATGATTTTAACGCTACTACCAATAAAAACAGGTTTTAAATAATCACAACTGTAGGTAAAAAAATAAAATAAGGTAAAGTGCAAACAATTTTTAAAGTGTAATGGGGGAGTCAAACCTAGCAATTAGGGGTTACTCCTGACTTTGCATTCAGAAAGCACTCCTGATGGTGCTATGGAGACTATATCGGGGGCTGGGAATCGAATCTGGTTCTGCAGTATGCAAGGCAAGAACCCTACCAGCTATGCTATGTCTCTGTGCCCTCCCCCCCAAAAAATAAATATAATTTAGGATGTAACGAAAAATAATCAGGCAGATACATAGTTTTGGTTCATCGGTAAAAAGGATGCTCTGGGTGCAAAGTGGGGCAATGACTGTGTCGTGTTTCAACCATCCCAAAATCAGATTCTGAAATTGTGTCTTCAATGTGAAAACAATTCTTTCCAAAATAGATAGTACAGTCAGTAGGGCATTTACCTTGCATACCACGATGCCATAATCAATTCCTGCTCTACATATGGTTCTCTTAAGCACCGCCAGGAGTGATCCTGAGCATAGTCAGGTGTGCATGCCCACCCTCCCCCCACTCCCTCAAAAAAATTCTGTAAAATAAAACAATAAACCTTAGTGTTTAACAACATCAAAACACTGTTGTGGGTAAGAATTTTTTGTTAAAGAGAAAGCATTCTGACGGATCAGAAGAAAGCATTTTAATCAGGAATAAATTATAGACTACAATGGAGTTTTTCCTTTGCCTAAACAAAGGATGTTTGTTCTTGTACAGAATCAAATTCTTTGTAAATCAGTATCAGAATTCTATGATCATTAGCTTTCTGAAATCATATATTATTATTCACCACTTCCACTTTTCTGTCAAATTACACGCATAGAGGCAAGGATAAGGCCTTTGAATAAAAGCAGAAATCTTTGACCTCTTGCAAATTCAAGAATAATAGCAAAAAGAATAAAACTCTGCCTGAGTCATGTGATCCAGCTCAATCTCTAAATGTCATTGGATTACATATTGAACATCAAGAAACTTGGGAGCAAATCATCATAATTACTCTGAGTCTTACCTCTGTATTTGTTGAAACACACATAATGAAAGGAAATCATTTTAGAACCAGCTCTATTTCCCCACTCCCACTTAGAGCAGAAAAAGGCTTTTAATCATACTTACTAGCTGTTTTACACAGGGTTCCTTCCACAGAAGAAACTTCACAATTTCCTTTTTTCCATTCACCTGTCTTGATGTGCAAAAATGCACAGGTGTCAATTAGATCTTCACCATCTTCTTGGTCTGTCCATTTATCAAATGTCACATTTGACTTATCGAACCACTTGAAACTTTCATCTGTCGGTTGAGGCATATTTTAAACATTATAATCATACATAAAGGTAAAGGTAAAGGCCCTCCCGTTGATCGTCGATTTGCTCGAGCGGGCCCAGTAACGTCTCCATTGGAGACTTTGTTGTTACTGTGTTTGGCATATCGAGTACTCTCGGTAGCTTGCCGGGCTCTCCGAGAGGGGCGGAGGAATCGAACTCGGGTCGGCCATGTTGGCCGCTTGTAAGGCGAACGCCCTACCGCTGTGCTATCATACATAAAGGTATTAAAATCAAAAGGATGTCTAGACATGAGAGTTAACTATGGTATGTCTTATTTAAACTTTTGATTGGATTTAAATTTAATAGGAGAGAAATATCTTTTGTACCAACATATTAGAGGCAGTGATTCAAGAGGACTTTGAAGAAGATTCCATTTTTGTAAAGAAAATATATTGTTCTGGTAATAAATAGTTGTAAAAAACAATGAGTCGTAAGCAATAATTGCATTTCAATTTGAAAATATTTATGTATTTTCTATTTTCTGTAGTGACAATACACAATAGGATCTTGTATAGTTCTATCTATCTTTATGCTATTGACTGCTGGCATTAATACTAGCTTTCATGAGACTATAATATGAAAAATATGGACCCCATCACCCCCATCACATTTTATTCTAAACAAAACAACTAACTTTGACTTATGTGAAACCTATTGAATTGGTCAGGAAGAAGTGGTGGTTTTAAGTCAGAGATAAGCATTGAAGTGACAACATCTGGAGGTCACAGAAAATATCAACTTGAATCAGAGAATTGAAGAATTTTTAAAGCAAGTCATCAGTTTTCATTTTGGGGTCATACCTGACAGTGCTCAAGGCTTACTCCTAACTCTGCACCCAGGGATCACTCCTGATGGGCTTGAGTGACCAAATGGGATGCCAAGGATTGAACCCAGATTAGCTGCATGCAAGGCAGTTCTGTCATCCAGCTCCTAGCTTTACTAACTTTAAGGGAAAAATTATGATCCCCAAGATAAATATCACTTACCATCTGTATCAAAAAACATGCCCAGTAGGAGATCATCAGGGCCTTTCCATAGGTTTTTCAAATTATCCAATATAAAAGCATTTTCTGCTTCATTATGTATGCTTACCATATCTGCTCCTGTAAGTGTGAAATTATATTCAAAGTCAATAAAAATAGGGCATATATATTTTTAAATGTTAAAGTGCAATATACATGTATTTAATACTATATATAAGGGCAATGGTTATATATATATGTATATATATATATAGAGAGAGAGAGAGAGCACTTCAACATTTTTTGGGGGTCACACCCGGCAATACACAGGGGTTACTCCTGGCTCTGCACTTAGGAATTACTCCTGGTGGTGCTCAGGGGACCATATGTGACACTGGGAATCGAACCCGGGTCTGCCGCATGCAAGGCAAACGCCCCACCTACTATGCTATCGCTCTGACCCCTGCACTTTAACATTTTTAATTGACAATATCATGCCATTTATACAATGAATGGTCCTATATTCATTCATCTAGAATTGGTGATCAATTTATCTATGAATAGCAGGTAAAACAATGCGGTAGCTTGAACAATAAAACACACTTTCTGGGAGCTGGGAATGAGGCTCAAATGAGCTCTGGGGCCTAAGCAAGAGGGGTCCCTGGAAATTCTGGAAGTACCAGAAGTGGGCCTCAGAACTATAACCCAGAATCTCCACCAGTGCAGGGCCCCTCCCCCCACAGGTACACCAGTGGCGGGGTCATAGCCTCCGAGGTGACCGCCAGTTAATTACCCCTTTCACAATGCATTAAACCCATTTCTCACTCTCCACACTAAACTATAAGGGCAGCCTATTCCAACCACATTAGGCCAATAGTCTACTAGCCTATTCCAAACAAAATATCCCTCAAAGTTCACCGAAATAATAGTGAACACAAGAATCTGTACAAACCTAATCTAAAAGAATGGCCCCCAAATCAACTCTAGAGGCCACACATAAGTCACACAGGAGCACCAAAGAAGAAGGTAATATCCTTGAGGAAAGAGGAGACCACCACTGACTGAGTTCAACTAGGATCCTCCCTGGCAGTGAAAGGGAGACACTGATAGTGAACTGGAGGGATCCACCTCCATACTACTATAGCATCATGGGAAACAGTGAAGATCCCTACCACAAGTCGTGGATGAAGAAAAGAGCCCTGAAACCTCAACAGGGAATGCCCACATAATCTCTCTGATAATTAATTCAGAGATGAAATGGTGAGGATGTTTAATGAGCTCAAAGAAATAGTGGAACAGACATCCAATAAAATACAGGAGGATATGAAAGAAACAGTGGAACAGTCAGTCAATAAAACACAGGAATAAATGAGAGCAGAAATAAGAAAGCTACAAACAAGTGTCACTACTAAATTCGGTAAATGAAATTAAAAACTCAGTGGGTACCCTCAACAGTAGAATGACAACAGCCGAAGACAGAATTAGTGCACTTGAAGATGAGCTACAGAAAGCACACAGTCAAATGAGCTCTGGGTAGGATCTCGTACATCGCATACCCACCCCGCACCTGCACGCAGCAACACTGGGCGTGGCTTCCACTACACTTTCTTCTCAAGCCACACTTGCTGCATCTCTCAAGGTTCCTCTTTCCAACTCTCTCTTCTAGCAAACACAGCCTCTCCACCCTATGTTCACAAGTGTAGGGAGAAAGTTTGATCACACATCAGAGAGCTGAAAAGTACCAGGGCAACTTGATGGAACAGTCCTAAGACCCAGTATAAGTTCAAGCAACAAGTTGTCTCCCCAACCTGCCTCATTTAGAGGGCCGTCATCTTCCTGCTACCTGAGACCCATGCCTTTCCAGATTGCCCTCTCATCAGCTTTAGAAAAGTTCTGGTGAGTGAAAGTGATAAATGATGTTCTTCTTATTGAGATAGTTGATTTTTCCTAGGACTCTTAACCAGCTTCAAGAATAAGGCAAATAGGCTGCACATATAGTACAGCAGGTAGGGTGCATGTCTTGCACATGACCCAGATTTCATCCGTGGCACCCCTATTTGGTGCCCTGAGCCTGGCCAGGAATGATCCCTGAGCACAGAGGCAGGAGTAAGCCCTGAGCACCATCAGGTGTAAACCAAAACAAACCAAAAAAGTAGCAGTCCATGTATATGTTATGTCCCATATCAACTTTTTTCTCTCACTATAAGCAATTTTGCATGGTATAAATATCAGCTATAATTTTCCTTTGCCAAGACATATTTAATCTTGTGTCTTAGCCCAAGAAAAGGATCTCTTATAAATCAAACATTCCTTCTACTCTCTTAATTGGATACTATGAGAAATGTTAATGGATTTAGTTTATTTCATATGTAGTTCTGCAGGTGAAAACAATCAAAACATGATAAATCTTCTACTAGCAACAAAAGGTCTGGTTGTAGAAGATCTATATCCTGGGGAAAAACATAAGAGAAAAAACTCCCTTTCAGCTCTACTTAGCTAAATAGGGACCATAAGAATGCTCCTAAGAAACATGACTGTCGGGGCTGGAGCAATAGCACAGTGGGTAGGGCGTTTGTCTTGCACGCGGCCGACCCGGGTTCGATTCCCAGCATCTCATATGATCCTCTAAGCACCGCCAGGAGTAATTCCTGAGTGCAGAGCCAGGAGTATCCCCTGTGCATTGCCAGGTGTGATCCAAAAAGCAAAAAAGAAAAAAATAGACTGTTGTCTTAATAATTTAAAGTATAATAATTTTATTATTTTCCAGATATTACTGAGGTATGTATAATATGTGTGTAAAATATGTATGCATATTTTATTTTTTATTTTGCTTTTTTTGGGGGGGCTCACCCATCTGTTCTCAGGGTTTATTGCTAGCTCTGTGCTCAGACATCACTTCTGGCGGGACTGGGAAGACCATATGCAGTGCCAGGGACTGAATCAGTTGTATGCAAGGCAAGCACCTAAACTCCTACATTCTCTCCACATTTTAAAGTTATCATTGTGTTTTGCGTGCTAAAACTAACTCTAATACATGGAGAGATGAAATCTTTTCTATTACATTTCTTGTTGGGGTTCTCAAAAAAATATTCTGAATTAACAAAAGCTCTTGAAAACTTCCCTCTAGCTTCTTTAGGGCAGTGGTCCTCCAACTTCAGGGTGCATCAAATCTTCTGGAAAACTGGTTAATTGAAACTGCTACAGGGACTGAAAGCGAGTATCGGGGAGAAGGCACTTGCCTTGCCCAACTTAGCTGACTCAGTTTGATCTCTGGCACTGCATATGGCATGTGGTCCCCCAAGTACTATCTGGGTATCTTGGGGACCACTGGGTGCGACCCAAAAACTAGCAAAAGGAATAAGGTATTAGTATTTATGCTATCATTCCAAAACCTAATTTTAATAATGAAAAGCTAACAGTTAAACAGGAAAAATAGCTCCTAAGCTGGGGAGATGCCTTGAAGGTCGAGCAGAGATGCTTTGCAAGTATGAGCCCCAAATTCAATTCCCAGCACCACATGGGCCCTTGGACACCAGAGTGTGAGTCCCTCCACCCAAGGTACATAATCTCTGGCCTATGGATCCTTAACTTCCTGCTAGGGCAGTCATCAGCTCTGTACTAATGTTAATCACAAGTTTATGACACCGAAAGACTGGAAATAAAAAGCAATACTGGATAAATGTTTCAATGAAATGTTAATTTTTAAATGAAATGTTTAAATGAAACAATATCATTTATTTCTGTTAAGGCATAATTACATAATAGAATAATGTAAAGAAATTAGCTATCTATATTTACTGCCATGGAAAGGCTTCTGTTTTGAGGTGGAGGAAGGCAACCCTGGCAGTGCTCTGGGGCTACAGGCTCAGAGGTCTCTTGGGAGGTAATCAAGAGACCATACAGTGCCTCTAATTGAACACACACAGCCTGCTGGGCTACCTCCCCAGCCCCAGAAAGACATGCTTAAGGCAAAATGTAAATCAAAGAACACTTGACCAAGTATAAAAAATAAAAAAAAGAAACATTAAAATGCATGTTCTTGGAAGGGGAAGTCTAGAAAGTTATCTACTGAACCTTAACATTTTTTCTATAATAAACCAATTTTAGATGGTTTTATGGTACAAATATTTCATGTGTTTTCCCAGATTTTCTATAGTAATCAGGTATTACTTAAAGTCTTTTAAAAGAAAGAAATAAGACTACCCTTTAAAACTGCTTAATAAATTAACTAGTCCTTTTAGACTAGGAATTAACCAGGTTCTCTGTCTTACTGCTACTTGTTTATTTTGGCCTCCCCAGATTGCTCTTGTGGGCCTACAGGACATCCCCTGGACACTAGGTCTAAAGAGGCTCTGACAGCTGTGTGTTCTGTCAGTGGTACCTTTAGGGATGTACCCAGTGTGCGGGGATTAAAGAGCCCACATTTTTCTAAACCCTAGGATGACTTTCTTTCTGTCTTTTTTCACCTTTTTGTTTGGGGGACACAGCCGCCAGTGCTCCGGGCCTATTCCTGGCTCTGCATTCAGGGATCAGTCCTGGTTGGCTCAGGGGACCATATGTGGCACCAGAAATTGAACCGAGGTCAGGTATGAGCAAGGCAAACACCTTACCTGCTATACTATCTCTGTGGCATGCTAAGATGATTTCCTGATCAGTTTCATATAGTGTCACCTCCTACTTATTACCAGTCTTTTCATCTGTTTTACCCTAGAACTTACTTTGTGAAATGTGATCAAATACCACTCACTACAGAACAATCCTCAAAACAAACATTTAACCAGGTTGCGGTGTAAGCTCGAGTTTTTTAGGGATGAGATTTTCATCCTTTTCTCTGACCTTGTGCCAGTGAATGAAACTTTAATGATTTTTAGCATTGAAATCTAATTAAATACTGCATAAACTTAAATTACTATGCCAGACAAATAAGATAGACTTCCATTTTCTTTAACAAATGACAGCCTAAGTCCCTGAAGAATGTGTGTGTTCAAGCACATTTTTTTTACAATGCATTACCGCTGACACTACCTGCTGAGGTGGAAGTTAGGTCTTTAATTCTTTTTATGGTTAGTGACATAGCTCATAGATCACTATAAAAGGAAAGCTGGAAAAGATTTTTTTCTATTATGATAATATATAACTTAAAGGTAAATGTAGCTAAATAAAAAATTTAATCTCTCGGGGCTAGAGCAATAGCACAGCAGGTAGGGCGTTTGCCTTGCATGCCGCCGACCCATGTTTGATTCCCAGTATCTCATATTGTCCCCTGAGCACCACCAGGGGTAATTCCTGAGCGCAGATCCAGAAGTAACCCCTATGCATCACTGGGTGTGACCCAAAAAGCAAAAAAAAAAAAATTCAATCTTTCACAATTATTCCCTCTCCTCAAAAAGAGTAACAAAAATGAAAAGAGATAAACAACTTAATCAGCACAAAGCACTGGGAGTATTCCTAACTGCAGCTCTCTGCAACCTAAAAGATCAATGAATTTCATCCCCCAGAATAGGTTTAAAGGTATTATTTTTACTAGTGTGAAGACGTTATGAATATAAACATTCTAGTATTTCTTAAAATTTCATTTATACACTGCAAACACAATTCATGTCTACCTACTAGACCCAATACTACCCTTAGCCAAAAATAAATAGCCTCAGCTAATTTTAGATTCCATCAGTGAGATGATTATTTCTATACTAGAAGCATATATATATGCTTAACAAGAAAATGGTGAGATAGGAAATATAAGCAAGGGCTAGAGAGATTGTATAACAGTTCGCTTGCCTCTCATTCTGTCAACCCACATTCATTTCCAGGTACCACATATAGTCCTGTGAGCCCTGCCAGAAGTAAGCCCTGACCACAGCAAAATGTGGCCCCAGAACAAAACTAACCCCCATCAACATGAAAGCTTCTAACTGTATCTCACTATGATTCAATAAAATTTTAAAAAATAAAAAAAAACACACCATGACCAACAGCAAAAATGTAAACAAAACAAAGGTAAAATGATTAAGACAAATTGATTGATAAAATGTTAACTGGGGAGCATGAGAGATAGTAAAGTACTGTTTTTTACTGAGTAAGGAGGTGCTTGCCTTGCACATGGCAGGTCTGGGTTTAATCCCTGGCATCTTGTATGGTTCCCCGAGCACTGCCAGGAGTGATTCCTGAGTGCAGAACCAGAGCACTGCAGAGTATAGCCCCAAAACAAACAAAAATTACAATAATTTTCTACAGGCCAGAGTGGTGGTAAAATGGGTAGGGCATTTGCCTTACATGCGGCCAATTCAGGTTCGATCCCCAAATCCCTAATGGTTAGAAGCAATCCCTGAGCACAGAGCCAGGAGTGAGCCCTCAGCATCACTGGCTGTGACCCAAAAGACAGACAAACAAAAAGAAAAATGTAATTGAAGAAGTTCAAGAATACCACAGAAACCACAGCAACAGAATTCTAAGTGCAGGGAACCATGAAGACAAAAATACAAGCCAGCAATAATGAAGTGGCAAAAATAAAAGTGAAGTAAACAAATGAAAGAAAATGGAATATTATTGATAGATAATATAATAAGAGGAATAATCTCCAAATTATAGAGGAGGAAAAAGAAAAAGGGCATGAACGACTGGTAGAAAAAATAAATGAGAATTTCCACAGTCTTTGCACAGAGATTCTGCACAGATCCAAGAGGTCCAAATGAGACAGACACTAAAAGAATGACACCAAGACACACAGTAATCCAGGACAGAGTAATTAAGAACTCTAGTCCTAAAAATCACACCAGACCATGGTTTGAATCCTGGATATGATAAATCTTGTAGGACCCTAAACGAGTCATTTAATTCTTTTAAAGAGTTCAGTATACCAAGCCTGAGAATTTTGTTAAGATAAATCCACATAAACCTAGTCACATGCTTAACTAAGCATAATACCTTGCACAGTAAGCACACATTGACTTGGTCCTGCTCTTGCTAAGGTCCTCACTCTGCTGTGTACAGTGCTATTCAGCAACTGCCTTTGCTGTTCAGCTGGTCAACAACAGTAAGACATAATGGATATACCAGTCCCACTGTCCGTGATGCAATGTGTATCGCGGACAAAGTGTTCCCTCTTTAATAAGGACCAGAAAAAAGTGATCCTTTTATGACAGAACCTGAAAGATAGTTCAACAAGCTGAGCACACACGATTTGCACACAGGGTTTGATCCCAGATACCACACAGTTCAAGAGCACAGTACTGGAGTATACCCTAAGCACTGTGGTCACAGGCCCAAAACGGAAGGGAAAAAGAGAAGTGACAATGTCATTTTTTTTCTGTTTTTGTTTTGAACCACATCAGCTAGCTCAGAACTGACTCCTTACTGCCCTCAGGGATCACTGTTAGCAGAGCATGGGGAACCAGACAGGGTGCTAGTGATCAAAACTCAGGTTAGCTGCATGCAAGACATGCACCCTGTTTCACTTTCACCCCCGACAAAACTAGTTTTTTTTAAAAAATGTTATAAAAAATCTTTTAAGTTAACTGATTTATGAAAAAACAAAAGGAAGAGTATGTTTCTTACCATAGGCAGTACACTGATTTCTGATATCATCTATGCTTTCTACATTGATGGCTTCTTGAAGAAAAAGGTAACAACTGTCTTGGAACTGAACCCAGGTGGATGAAGGACAATCTGTGAAAAAAGAATAAAAAAGTTATTATCAATAACTTGAGAGTAACAATTGCACATTCCAGGGCCAAGGGGACTGCACAATGGCTTAGAGTGCCTGACCTGCAAGCATGTGATCATGAATTCAAAGGCTCAGTGTCCCACAGGTGCCAAGCTTTACTGATGCTGTCACTGTAAGTGATTTTAATCCGAACTACATCCAGCCATGTGTATGCACCACTAATTAAGTGAACTCTAACCAGCGCTGAAACTAAGAAGATGTGCAAGTGCCATCGGCAAGGCAACGTGACCCTGAGGGAGCACTAGAACCCAAACTTGTGTGCCTCAATGAAGATGTGACAACTGGTTAACTGGCAATGACTCACAAGCACTGCAACTAAAGGAGCACAGATCTGCATAAACAGCCTCAGTACAAGTACCACAACCTGATGTGCAATCTCTAGGGCATGCCCCAGCTAGATGTAGGAGCAATTTTTGCCATTACAAAAACATATAAGGGGCAAGGTGGGGGAGGCAATAAATAAATAAATAAATAAATAAATAAATGAAAATAGAGGCCAAAGTGATAATACAGCAGGTAGGGCATTTGCTTTGCATGCAGCCAACCTAAATTCAATCCCTGGCATCCCATATGGTCCTCAAGCACCACCAGGAGTAATTCCTGAATGCAGTGCCAGGAATAACACCTGGACATTTCCGGGTGTGGCCCAAAAACAAAAGAGAAAAATTTTAATAAATTACTAAAAATAAGGATATTATATATTGAATTTTCACCAGAAAGAATGGTGCTTCCCTTGTTAATTTAGCAACACCTCTCCCATAAATTTTTTTAAATGAGGAATCATGAGGTTCATGGCATGTCAAAAGAAGTACGATAGTAACAACAAAGATCGCAACAACCAGATCATTGTTATAACATATAGTGATAACGAATAGTGTTTAAACAAGTGCAAATAACCAAAATAGAACACAAGGTCACTACGTGAGCACATTCTAGGAAAATGGTGTCAAACAGTTGATGGAAGGTTACCTATAAACTCTCCATTTGTCAAAAATGCCATTTCTGCAAAACACAATAAAAAGAGATCTGCCTGTACTGTGATAATACACATGCATGGGAAAAGAGAATGGTGCCAATGATTTTCTTCCTATTTGACAGAAAAACTTACAAATCTTTGTATTTTTAGGACTTAAGTCATAATAGCATCACTACCAAGAAAACACATTATAAGGATTTCAACCAATTAGAATTAATTACAAGCTCTCTTTGAAAGTCATTCTCTTAGCTCTCTTTGAAAGTTATCCTCTTAATACACAATAACAATTTCAGGAAACTTAAGAATTTACAAGATTTAGTGGCCAGAGAGATAGTAAAGCTGTAGGATCTTTCATGCAGCTGACACAGGTTCTATCTGGTGTCCCATACATTCCCCTGAGCACTGTCAGGGGTAATTCCTGAACACAGAGCCAGCAGTAACCCCTGAGCTTACGTGGGTGTGGTCCAAAAACCAACATCAAAACTAAACAAAACAAAAAGAATTCAAAAGATTTAAAATTTACAAGACTAGAGAGATATTACAGCCAGAATGGCTTTTGTCTCATTCACAAAGGATCAGGTTTCAATCTGCAGAACCACACAAGGTCCTTGAGCAATGCCAGGAGCCGCTGCAGAATCCAGAGCTAGTAGTCAGTACTGAGCAGAGCCAGATGTGACACACACACAAACAAACAAAGAAACAACAACAGCAAGCACATTAAAAAAAAATTAACAAGATCTTTTTACTTCCAAGGGCCCAGAAAACAACTCAAAGGGCTGAAGCACTTGGCTTTGTATGCAGGAAGCTTTTCAATCTCCCCAGCCAGCCGCCTACCCCAGCACCACCAGACTGATACTGGTAACCAACCCCACCACAGGCCTGAGCTGTCAGCACCAGCAGGTCCAGCACTAATGAGCATCATCCCTGGCCTCCCAAGAATGGCTGAAATGTCTTCCCCCATTTCTTTTTAAAGTGTAAATCCAGGAACAGAAAGGAAGACAAGTTGGTGGGATGTGACCTTTCACCTACATTCACTGTGCACGGAAAAGTAAGATTTTTTTTTAGTTTATTTATTTACATATTTATTTATGGAATCACCATGAGCTACACTTACAAAGCTTTCATATTTGAGTTTCAGTAATACAATGATTAAACACCCATCCCTCCATCAGTGCACATTTTCTACCACCAATGTCCCCAGTATCCCCCCACCCCCATCCCAACCCATCCCCTGCCTCTATGGCGGTCAATTTCCCTCTTGCTCTCTCTCCACTTTGGGGCATTATGATTTGCAGTATAGATACTGAGAGGCCATGATGTTTGGTCCTTAATCGACTTTCAGCACACATCTCCCATCCCGAGCAATCCCTCCAACCACCATTGACTTAGTGATCCCTTCTCTAGCCCAGCTGCCTTCTCCCCCAGCTTGTAAGGAAAGCTTACAACCGTGGAACAATCCTACTGGCCCTGTCTCTACTGTCCCTCAGTGTTAGTCTCATATTTGGATATTTTATATTCAACAAATGAGTGCAGTCATTCTATGTCTGTCCCTCTCTTTTTGACTCATTTCACTTAGCATGAAATTTGCCATGACCATCCAGCAAATTTCATGACTTCATCTTTCCTGACAGCTGCATAGTATTCCATTTTGTAGATGTACCAAAGTTTCTTTAAACAGTCATCTGTTCTCGGGCACTTGAGTTGTGTCCAGATTCTGGCTATTGTGAGCAATACTGCAATGAACATATAGGTGCAGGTGTCATTTCTATTGTACTTTTTTGTACTCTCAGGATATATTATTCCCAGAAGTGGTATTGCTGGGTCAAGGAAGCTTAATTTATAGTTTTTTAAGGAATGCTCATTTTGTTTTCCGAAAAGACTGGACTAGTTGGCATTCCCATCAACAATGAAAGACAGTCCCTTTATCCCCACATCTGCACAGTAAGATTAATTTTTAGTTTGTTTGGGGGCCACACCAAGTAATGCTCAGGAGTTACCCCTGGCTCTGCACTCAGGAATAACTCTTGGTGGTGCTTGGGAGACCAGGTGGTATGCTGGGGATCAAATCCAGGTCAGCTGTATGAAAGGCAAATGCCCTAACCCCTGTACGATAGCTCTAGCCCCTAGACCGATATTCCTGTTAATGGTCCTAACACCTCATCAAAGCAGGTTCTTTGAGCCAGTTGCATGAGCAGAACCAGATCTCCTGCTCCATTACTGTGGCAAGAGGGAAGTTGCTGTGGCTATCATGATATCTATCACTTTTTATATTTTTAAGGGTGGCCATTTCTAAGCCCCAGTTCTGAATAAGGGGGGATGAGGTATTAGACTTTATTTTAGGACTCCATTGAGGATATCACAAAGATTTCGCCTAATTTTATTTTAATTTATGTATATATTTTTATGAAATACAAATAATAACATCTTACTACAAGGATCAGAATTTAACAGCCATGTAATCTTAATCTTGCCTAGACTTTACTAAACTCTGTGTTTGAGCTCAGCTGCTTCTTTTTGTCTGTTTTGGGGTCACACCTAGTGATGCTAAGGGGGTATGTGCCTGGCTCCATTGCTTACTGGTCACTCCTAGCACTGTTTAGGGGTCAAGTAGTACAGGGATCAAATCTGGGTCTCCTTTATGAAACCATTCACTCCAGCCCATTAAACTATCTCTACCAATCTAAAGTTCAGCTTTTTTTTGTTTTGTTTTGTTTTGTTTGGGGGCTACACCTGGCTATGCACTGACCTCACACCTGGCTCTGTGCTCAGAGACCACCTCTGGTAGAATTTGGGGGAATCATATGAGATGCAAGGATAAAATCCAGGTCAGCTGTGTATAAGGCAAGTGCCCTCACCTCCGGGTCACTTCTTTAAGTGCCCCTTAAAGAATCCAGGTCAGCTGTGTGCAAAGCTGTACTATTATTACTTCAGCTTTTAAGTTGAGCTTCTTGTCAAACAGAGCACTTGGAAAGCTTCTCAGTCTTCTGGTAACTGACAGATATGAGTAGGAAGTGGTTTGTGCAAAACGTGCCTTTAAAAGGAAGGAATATGTTCCCTATACACAGTTCTTCTTTTCCACTTAGAAAAATGAAGTTAGTTTTCTTTTGGGGGGAAGGGTATTTCTAAGGGCCACCCCAGTGATGCTGGGCCCCAAGGTTCAGCAGACCCTGGTGGCAGGGAACACACCCAGGGCCTTGACCTGTGAGGCTTATGCTTTACCACCTGAGTTAATTGCCTGCCCCACTGAATTAGCTCTTTTACTGTTTCTACAATAGAAACAGCCTAGGAAGAGCAGCAGAAAGAAAGGTCAGGAAGTCAGAAGGATCCCAGAGAAACCATTATATTACACTTACATTGTCAAAAGAGAAAATTTAATATCTATCTTATAAAATCATTGCTAATTTAGGTCACTGTTACAGAAAAAATTCAAATACAACAGACTCCTTAAAATGATCCTGATGAGTGAGACGTTCTGCTTTCTTTGTTGTTTCTTTCTTCTTCTTCTTTTCTTTTTTTTTTTTTTTTTAATTTTTGGCCACACACCTGGCAGTGCTCGGGGATTACTCCTGGATGGTTGAGGTGGAGGGAGAATCTGGGAGGCTGGGGGGTTGAACCAGGGTCAGCTATGTGCAAGGTAAGCACTTTGCCCACTGCATTATCACTTCAGCTGAGATCTACTACTTTCTCCTCACCTCATACTGCTACATGTGCTGCATCATCAAGACACATGAAAACAGGTATTCCAAAGCAGATCTTTTGTGTACAAATCTTCCTTCCTGCTATTTATTAAATACCTTTAAGTACACATGAAAGAATCTTGCCTAGACCTTTCTCATTCTATATGGGTATTTGTTTGGGGATTAAAAAAAATAGGGGCGAGAGCAATAGTACAGCGGGTCAGCATCCCATATGGTCCCCCAAACACCGCCAGGAGTAATTCCTGAATGAAGAGCCAGGAGTAACCCC